GCAATCTTTCTAGATATCTCCAGCAGAAAAAATTTTTTTTTTAAATTTCCCACTTAAACAAAATTTTTTTTTTTAATTTCCCACTTAAAAAAAATTTTTTTTTTTAATTTCCCACTTAAAAAAAATTTTTTTTTTAATTTCCCATATAAAAAAAAAAAAATTTAAGACTACGGGTCCGGAGCTGCTCCGCGGCAGGAGGTCCGAGCGGAAGAGCGACGCGTGGGCCCTGGGCTGCGTGGTTGATTATTATGATTGATGCGTTAGGTTGATTCTAAAACGAACGGGAAGAAGAAGCTGACTAAAATAAATAAATAATTTGAAGCAACATGAGTGGCCAAGTTCAAAAAAGCCTTCGGGACTTCGACGTGCTGGCGGTCCTCGGATGCGGCTCCTTCGGGACCTGCTATAAGGTGCAGGACAGGAGCACCGGCGAGGTGTTTGCCTTAAAAGGCATAGATTACGACCAGCTAGACGAGGACAAGCGCGAGGCGCTGTTCTCGGAGGTCACCATGCTCCGGGAACTGCAGCACCCCAACATTGTGCAATACCATGACCATTTCGACAATCGGGTGGCCAAGGTATTGCACATTCTAATGGAGTGCTGTGCCGGGGGCGATCTTGCCCAGCTTGTCGAGCGGGCGCGAACAGAGCGACGCCGGTGCGAGGAGCCGTACTAGCGGTTGGTTTTAAACTAAAGGCTAACTTAAAATTATGAGCATTGGCTGCTGTGGCCGCTTGATGTACAGTTTTAATATTATATGTGGAATATATATTACTTTTTTACCTTACTTTATATATTAATTTTTGTACGTTTTTTGGTTTTTTTTTTTTCCTGCCAATTGCCTATGATATTAATTAAATTCTGGAATACCGGGTTTCTATGTAAAATAACAATTAAATCTTTATTTTTATTTTGGTTTCTCAAATATTTATTTTATAAATAAAGGATCTCTTTTAGTAAAAAGAAAAACTAGTTCCGATCAATTGTAGCTTTTTATATATATTTCAAGGGGTAAACATTTTTTTTTTTAGTTTATGTCATAATTTTCTACCCTTGCGGGGTACAATACTTTTAGTCAGAAGCTTTGGCGGAGTCATTCCCGACCAAATATATCATATATATTCTTGATCATCGTCAAAAGGCAATCTTTCTAGATATCTCCGGCAGAAAAAAAAATTATTTTTTTTTTAATTTCCCATTTAAAAAAAAAATTTTTTAATTTCCCATTTAAAAAAAAAAAAATTTTAATTGGCAAAAAATTAAATTTTTATAAATTTTAAATTGATATGCACATTTATTGACCTAATAAAAACGAACATTGGAACGCTTTCCAAATTGAAATTAAGGCATTTTTGGCTTAGTTATGAACGATGTAAAAATTAAATATCTTCATACAAATGCTGTTATTTAACAGGTGTCAGAACTGTTGCTTCGCGCCAGCTGACGATTTTCGATAGTCCGACGCTATCGATAACCGGTTTGTTGATCTGGTCAGATTTCTTAATTAAATTCTTGTTTTATCAGCGCACAAGTGTACCCCCGCGTGTTTCAGCTAACTAAATTTAATCCAAAGATGTCCGCCCGTCTGCTTCAGGCCACGCGCCAACTGTGCTCCCAGGGGTCGCTGCTATCGTACAGCTCCAAGATAGCCGAAATTAATAAAAATATATAATAACAAATTTAATAATAATAAAATATGTATTTAATGAATGGAAACCATGGAAACTACTCGCGTTGTGATGTAAAATTAGTCCCGTAATTTACATATATATATATATATTTTTTTTACTACTCTTATATATTTTAATTTTTGTGTACTTTTTGCGAGTGTTCTTAGTTTTAAGATTTAAACTTTTACTGCCAAACTTTGTGCAATTTTCCTGATATTAATTAAATTCAGGAATATTGGGTTTCTATGTAAAATAAAAATTAAATAACATAATGAAACGATTCAATTGTTATCTTTATTTTGGTTTCTCAAATATTGATTTTATAAATAAAGAAACACATGCAAAATAGGTTTAACTTTTTCCGTAAAAAGAAAAATTAGTTCCAATCAAATATAGCTTTTTATACCCTTGCAGGGTATTATAATTTCAGTCAGAAGTTTGCAACGCAGTGAAGGAGGCACCTCCGACTATATAAAGTATATATATTCTTGATCAGGATCAACAGCCGAGTCGATCTAGCCATGTCCGTCTGTCCGTCTGTCCGTCTGTCCTTCTGTCCGTCTGTCCGTCTGTCCGTTTCTACGCAAACTAGTCTCTCAGTTTTGAAGCTATCTGAATGAAACTTTGTAGTTAGCCTTCTATATACTCTCACTCGTATATATGTCGGAACGGGCCGGATCGGACGACTATATCATATAGCTGCCATAGGAATGATCGGAAAATTTTTACAAAAACAATTTTAACTTTTTCAGTTTTCAATAGAATTGGATCAAATTTGAGAAATAGCCATTTTACTATACTCTACAATTTTGCATAAAATTTTATGAAAATCGGACTACTATATCATATAGCTACCATAGGAACAATCACGAAATTAATACAATTAAATTTATAACTTGTTCAGTTTTCAGCTAATTTCCATCAAATTTAAGGTATAGCCCTTTTTTATTAGTTTTAAATTTTGTGTCAAATTTCATGATAATCAGACGACTATATCATATAGGTGCCATACAAACGATCGTTTGATGTGGAGGAAAAATGCAAATCAGTGAATGTAAAACTGCAAATATATTATGTATAGGTGAATGAAATGAAAGCAGGTATTTTGTATTTTAAAACAAAAATTTATAATTTATATTGTATGGATTCCTATTCATAGAAGTTCTATCTGCAAGGGTATATAAACTTCGGCGTGCCGAAGTTAGCTTCCTTTCTTGTTATATGTAATTCAAGGGTTAAAAAGTATTTTTTTAATATCATATGATCGTTAAAATTTAAAAAAAATTTACAAAAAATTAAATTTTTCTAAATTTTGCAGATTTATTGACCTAATAAAAACTAACATTGGAACGCTTTCCAAATCGAAATTAAGGCATTTTTGGCTTAGTTATGAACGATGTAAAAATTAAATATCTTCATTCAAATGCTGTTATTTAACAGGTGTCAGAACTGTTGCTTCGCGCCAGCTGATGATTGTCGATAGTCCGACGCTATCGATAACCGGTTTGTTGCATAAGCACGATCTGGTCAGATTTCTTAATTAAATTCTTGTTTTATCAGCGCACAAGTGTGGTTACCCCCGCGTAATTCAGCCAACCAAATTGAAGCCTAAAATGTCCGCCCGTCTGCTCCAGGCCACGCGCCAACTGTGCGCCCAGGGATCGCTGCGATCGTACAGCTCCAAGATAGCCGAAGTGGTGGTGGTGTCCGCCGCCCGCACACCCATCGGCAGCTTCCAGAGCCAGCTGGCGCCGCTGTCGGCGACGCAGCTGGGCGCCAAGGCCATCGAGGCGGCGATTGAGCGGGCGGGAATTGGAAAATCCGATGTCCAGGAGGTGATAATGGGCAATGTGGTGTCCGCCGGCCTGGGACAGGCTCCGGCCCGCCAGGCGGCCATCTTCGCCGGCCTGCCGACTAGCGTGTGCTGTACCACTGTGAACAAGGTGTGCTCGTCGGGCATGAAGGCTGTGATGCTGGGCGCCCAGACGCTGATGCTTGGCTATGCCGACACCGTTGTCGCCGGCGGCATGGAGTCCATGTCCAATGTGCCATACTACATGAAGCGCGGAGCCACACCCTATGGCGGTGTCAATCTTACCGATGGCATCGTCTTTGATGGCTTATTCGATGTCTACAACAAGTTCCACATGGGTAACTGTGCCGAGAACACGGCCAAGAAGCTCCAAATCACCCGGCAGCAGCAGGATGACTTCGCCGTGGAGTCCTACAAGCGTTCTGCGGCGGCGTGGGGCAACAAGGTCTTCCAGGATGAGATTGTGCCCGTAAAGATCCAGTTAAAGCGCAAGCCAGAGGTCACCATTGCCGAGGACGAGGAATACAAGAGGGTGAACTTTGATAAGTTTGGCCAGCTGGCCACCGTTTTCCAGCGCGAAAATGGCACAGTGACCGCCGGCAATGCCTCCACATTGAACGACGGAGGAGCAGCCGTCGTCCTGATGACCGCCGAGGCAGCCCAGAAGGCGGGACTCAAGCCCCTGGCTAGGATTGTGGCCTTCCAGGTAGAGTCTTTTAAAAAATCAAGTAATATTCAAAACGTTAATATAGTTTTTTTTTTTATATATTTTTAGGATGCCGAAACAGATCCAATTGACTTCCCTATTGCTCCTGCTTTGGCTGTGCCCAAGCTTCTAAAGCGTGCCGGTGTCCGCAAGGAGGATGTGTCCATGTGGGAAATTAATGAAGCCTTCTCCGTGGTGGTGCTGGCCAATATCAAGACCCTGGATGTGGATCCCGCCAAGGTGAATGTGCACGGCGGTGCTGTGTCCATTGGCCATCCCATTGGCATGTCTGGAGCGCGTTTGGTGGCCCATCTGTCGCATAGCCTTAAAAAGGGCGAGCTGGGATGTGCCTCCATTTGCAATGGCGGCGGTGGTGCCTCCTCTATTCTGCTGGAGAAGCTCTAGATCCGGAGCTAAAATCTCTATCTCTCTCTCAACCAGAAATGCATTTATTGTCGACCCATGGTCATGGAAAGCTTTTTTTGTATTTGTTTTTTAAATTTGTAAATGTATGCTTGTATCTTTTCAGCATTTATTGAAATTATATTACATAATAATAAACGCATAATAAAATTGTAAAATTCAGTAAAGAATTATAGGAATGTATTGAGATTATTGCGATAACCTTTTGATTTTTGGAATAGATTAGATTTGTACTTTGCAAATTGTAAACTTTTTCTGGAAATACAAACACAAAATCTACATAATACAGAAAAAAACATACACAAATTTTAATGTTTATAATTCTTCAGATGAAAACCACTGAAGATTTCTTTAAACAATTATATTTAATGAATTTCTAACTAGTTTCTATTCTTCGGCTCTTGGGTTTACGCCTCCTCGTCTAGCACTCCAGACTTCCCATATGAAGATGACCAGGGAACAAAGGTAGAGTCCACCAACTAGGAGATATACCGCAACAAGATCCGGCAGCTGGATGCGCTTCTCCCTGTACAAGAATCGACTCCGAAAGTACCGCTCGCTGGCCACCTGACCAGCCCAGTGGTGGACGAGACCCACCGACCTTATAGACATTACCAGGTGATCGAGATGAGCCGCCAGATGAGAGTGCTTCTGCAGATAGATCGCCAGCTGTTGTTCCAGAACGTGCTGCTGAACCATATGATAGGATCCCGCTCGGTGGCCCCGCTGGGTCAGATGCAGCAGGGCGTCCTGTGAGAGCAGGCCGAAAATAAGGGGATGTGAGCCTGTGGAGCACCGATCCAGCTGGCGCAGTACCTCCTCCTCACGTTCGGAGGCAACCACAACGGAACCACTCAGTCGCAGGAGCTCCTGTAAGCTGGCCACCTGCCGCAGATCCTCGAATGTGGAGCGACTCATTACCGCCGCATAGCCACCGTCGGTCAGCTCCTGCAGAGTATCCGGTAGTCGTTGATGGAGATGATAGCGTAGGATGAGAAACAGCAGGGCAGAGTACATGGCTCGCACAATCAGGCCAAAGCACAGCCAGCTGGCGAAGAGGAACTGCAGCGACAGCGATGGACGCTCTGGCGGATCGATGGGCAGGCCCAAGGCAGCGGCATAGATCGTCAGGAGGAGGGCCACCCGATCACCTGCCCCTCGTCCCTGGAGCAGCATTATACCTGAGATGCTCACAAAGCTGGCCAACAGGCAGAGCCAGGTGAGGGCCTGGAAGGGGAACACCCAGATCTCCCAGCTGGTCAGATTGTGAGCATTGAGCAGCAGGCAGCCCACCAAGCGATTTGAGTAGTGCGGGAACACAGGGGTCAGATTGCCAGAGTACTGAATGTTCTTTCGGACATATCCAATGGCCAGGTGAGCTGCTGTGCTTCGTCCTTTTGCCTGAAACACCTGAAGCATCTCCTGCTCCGTCCAGGTCCTATGATTTCTCTGCTGCTCCTGCAAGCCCTCAAATCGAATGCTGAAGTTCATCCGATGGGACAGTTCCTGCAGCAGCTGACCCTCTAAGCCCAGAAGTGCCTGCCGCGTCCCCTCCTGCTGCAGCTCGAAGAAGGGGGCCACAGGCCGGGCCAGGACCACCAAGGGACACCCATTAAGGTTAAACAGCTTGGTGGGAAAGTAGTCACGATGCTGCCAGGATTCGCCCAGGAAGCGATTGATGTTTGCGGGCCGAGGAGGCGTATCGTTGCAGCTGTCGGGCTCGTAAGGAAAGTAGGTGTGGAGCAGCACCTGACCACCAGAGCTCTGAGTCATCACATTGCAGTTGACCAGCTGATGGCGCCAGCAATAAGCAAAGACGCCTTGCATATCCTGCGGTATAAGAGCATCCCGCTGCTGCAGGAATATAAAGTAGTACTCGCTGCCATCCGACTGGGCAGTGTAGGTGTGGATCTCGATGTCCCTGGAACGACAGAGGATATTTTTTTCAATGAAATCCAAGATCGTTTGGAGATCTTGACCAACTTACAGCAGCGCATCCAACGAGTCCACCAGCAGCAGATTGTGGGTCCTTGGTCCTGCGATCCTTCGATGCGGTCCCCCGAACTCAACCAGGACAAGCTGTATGATCATTGTGTCTACGCTCTCGTACAGCAGCTGCATAATGGTGCGATAAAAGTTCATGGGACTGGGTCGCCGGCAGGAGAGGATCACAATGAAGGCGGGTGCTATCCTTTGGTAAAAATCCTCGATGAAAACACGCAGCGCCTGCGCCACGTGTTGATTGATGGCCGCCGCCTGTGTCTGAGCGCCGATGTACTTCATCGACTCGAACTGCAGCAGGCTGGTCACGTTCATCTCCGTCCCGTCTGTCCGGCAATCGGGCAGAGTACTGCCAGCTGGACAAGGCTCCTAATCCTAATTCCTGCAGCGAACCATGTTTGCATCTCATTAGCCGCCTAGCATCGATTAGGACAAGGACAGGGACAAGTCAAATAGAAACCATTGTGGGTCACGTCACACACTCAGGTAGAGAGTCAGGCATAGTGCTGGGTTGGTAATTGACGGGATTACCTAGACAGTTGTACCCTGGGGTAGTTTCTTAATTGAAAAAGGACCCTCAGCAAGTTTTTATATTATTTATATTTCAAGGTGTTTTATTGATTATTATTATATTTAATTTCTATTGAGGTTTATGATATTACTGGATATACTTGTATTATTTTCTGGGTACTTTTGAGTCTTTCTAAGAATGTTCTTTGATCTATACTTATATCCATTTTCCTCATCACTGTTTGTCAATCAACTCACATCTGTTGGCTATGACTGACCATAAATAGATCCAATAGTCAATTCCACCTATATATTACCTATGTAAATTGGTGGTGGTTAAGGCTCGACCTTGATTGATGTCAATAATCGTATATTGTTATGGCTTCATTGGGCCTGTTATTCTATTTATAAGGTGGTGGAAAATACTTGTTTGATTGATGTGGTCACGGTTTTTCCAATCTATTCTCTAAGCATTTTTCTTTATACTGAACAAAAATGTTATGAGAGTAATGTTATTTTATTATATAAAATATTTCTCACTAAATTGCATTTCATTTTCAAATCGCTAGGAACAACAACCTCTTGGAATGCGGCTCTCAAGATGTTTTAAATATTTAACTCCATACTTTAAGTTTATTAGAAATTAAAATCAATGAAAATAAATTTTTTAGATAATAAAAAAATTTCTAAAAATTATATTGAAAATTAAGTTTAATTGGGCTTTCTAAAGGGAACTCACCTCACCGTCCTCCGCCAATTCCTAATCAATCTCAGTCCTTGTTTGCTTTTAATTAGTCCAATCTCATTCAAGATTTTGTGACCAAGAAGGACCAACCCTTTTAGCCCAGTCCATGGCCAGAAGCCTCCATGGGCACCATGAATACCAGCAGCTCCAGCCGTATTATGGGTGCCACCGCGGGTATATACAGCAGTTACGTGGAACACTCGAGAATTGATATGCAGGCGGAGGATGCAAATGTGTATGTGGCCCACGCTCTCCGCCTGGTCATCCAGAATGTGCTTGCCCAGCTTAGTGCCACGCTGGTGGTGACCATTTCCGCGCGTCATCGAGGCACTGCCCAATGGTTTGAGTATATGATGAATAATTTGGTTGATTCGTGGCGGATGACAGCCGTCCAGTTGCTGCGATTCCGGCCAGATATGGTTCACATCCCAGTGCCGGGACGGAAGAGGGTCAACCTGCTCCTGGTGGACTCCTACGGGGGACTGCTGTGAGTACACAGGATGCGACAGGAAAGAGATTTAAACTAATCCTTGACTACCCACAGGGACACCAACATAACCACGGATAATGCCGACTTTGATGATCCGGACTATTACTTTATCTTCCTGCAGACGCGGGACCCCTTGATTCCTAAGGAGCTGAGCCTGATCCTTAACCATTGCCTGGCCAACTTTTGGATGCACTGTAACGTTATGGTCCAGACCGCCGACGTGGATGTCCTGGTGTATACTTACTATCCCTATATGGCGGGCAGGTGCCAGGAGGCGCAACCAGTGCTGGTTAATCGCTTCGATGGCCGTCGTTGGCTAACAAACTCATCCATGTTTCCGGATAAACTGCGACAGATGCATGGCTGTCCTTTGACTGTGCTCACCTGGCATTTGCCGCCTTTTGTGGAACTGGTTTTGGATGCAACCACAGAAGTAGTCCGGGCTGCAGGCTTTGAGATTCAATTGGTGCGTCACCTGGCCAGCCGGATGAACTTCAGCCTGGAACTGGCCAATCTGGCACTGCTGCGACCGGAGGCCTATCGTCTGGCCGATGGTGTCAAAGATGGACCCATAGAGTGGGTGAGTCTAGTGCTAGGGGATAGATTTACGGCTTCTTATTTCTTTATAAATTTATCCAGCTGCTGTCACGCCGTGCCAACCTAAGCATGGGTTACTTCCGGAAGACGGCTCGCCGGAACCAGCTGCTGACCACACCCATGTCGTACTACTCCGCCAGCCTGGTGGCCGTGCTCCAGCTGGAGCGCTATCGCCTGGGCTCTCTGGCCCTGCTGGTCTTTCCCTTTGAGGCGTCCGTGTGGCTGCTGCTGCTCCTGGCCCTGGTCATACACCTGGGTCTCTACCTGCCCTGCTGGAGACGGCGGAGGAGACGAATAAATGTGGCGGGTGGAGAAAGAGAAACTGGAGGTGGAGGACTACAGGTATTGGGACTACTGCTGGGAACCGCTCTAGCCCAAATGCCACGATCCTGGCGGCAGCGCCTCATCGCCGCCCATTGGCTGTGGGCCAGCATACCGCTGAGGATTTGCTACCAGTCACTCCTGTTCCATCTCATCCGCCTGCAGCTGTACAGCACGCCATCCTTTTCGCTGGATCAACTGCTGGCGGAGGGCTTCCAGGGCATTTGTACGGCGAACACGCGGCGTTTGCTCCTCGAAATGCCGCAGCTGGACGGACACCCGGACAGCATTCAAGCTTTGGACACACCCTCCGATTTGGCCGTGCTGGAGGCACTGCAGCGGAATACCAACGGCAAGATCTTTGCCGTGGCCAACCAGGACGTGGCCCTGTCCTTTATACACTCCAGCAGCCATCCCAATGCTTATCATGTGGTCCGGCAGCCAGTGAATGTGGAATATGCTGGCATCTATATGCCCAAGCATTCGTATCTCTATGAGAAGGTGGATGAGACAGTGCGAAGACTGGATGCCGGTGGCTTTATCCATGCCTGGCGGCGCGCCTCCTTTGTGGCCCACCGGCGGGAGGCAGTGCAGCAGACCAACCGGCGGTACGTTAATCATGCAAAGCTATCCGGGATTTACATGGTCATGGCGGGGATGTACACCTTAGCTGGTCTGGTGTTTGCTGGAGAACTACTGCTCCGGCGGAGGAACTGGACTTGGATGTGGATTGGTGTAGCATAAGGTTTGTAACTTGCAGCTATTTTTTGGTTAATAATTAAGGAATATATTTAAGAGTTTTAATTTTAAATAATCTTAATAGTTTGAAGTATATTGTCACCAAATTTGTTTGTTTCTGGGGGGAAGACAACGAATTTGTCACCATTTAGGAATAATAACTAACTCCCGAATATGTCGATTATATTCCGTTATTATTTTCTTGTCTTATCTCAAAATGGAGCTGCAACTGCCAATCAGAACGCTTGACTTCAATTTACATGCGCTTAAAATGAAGCTTAGATTAACTGATAAGGCGACAGAAGAAGAAGAAAGAGATAAGAGCGCATCAGGTGCAGCGATACACCTATGCTCGCATAATTAGAATAGAGGCATTTCCAATTTTTACTTAATCAATAATAGTTACTAGAGGTATATTGATTCGAGTTATGTGACCCATTTGGTATACTTCCTCAATTAGGAAACTTTCAGCTAATGGCCTATGGACAAGTTACACAAAACTATCCAAGGAATGGGGCTTAAGTTATATGAACTATCCACCCGGATCCGAAAAATCAGAGACTGGGATTGTCATTCGCCGGCGGGCAGCACAGGACTTGATAGCTCTAGCTTTCATGGTTTCTGGGTCTGAAGGGTTTACATACCAACAGAGGGACAAAACGGACAAATCGGACAAAACGGACAAATCGGACAAATCGGACAAAACGGACAAAATGGACAAAACGGACAAAACGGACAAATTGGACAAAAAACGGACATATGTCTAAATCGATTCGCCTGGCGGAAGGACTCTCACGAAGTCACTACGATACACTAAAAAGGCTGTTTTTGGGGAAGACAACGAATTTGCCACCATTTTGGAATAATAACTAACGCCCGAATATGTCGATTATATTCCGTTATTATTTTCTTGCCTTATCTCTCATTGGAGCTGCAACTGCCAATCGGAACGCTTGACTTCAATTTACATGCGCTTAAAATGAAGCTTAGATTAACAGATAAGGCAACAGAAGAAGAAGAGAGAGATAAGAGTGCATCAGGTGCAGCGATACACCTATTCGCGCATAATTAGAATAGAGGCATTTCCAATTTTTACTTAATCAATAATAGTTACTAGAGGTATATTGATTCGAGTTATGCGACCCATTTGGTGTACTTCCTCAATTAGGAAACTTTCACCTAATGACTTATGGACAAGTTACACAAAACTATCCAAGGAATGGGGCTTAAGTTATATGAACAATCCATCCGGATCCGAAAAGTCAGAGACTGGGATTGTCATTCGCCGGCGGGCAGCACAGGACTTGATAGCTCTAGCTTTCATGGTTTCTGGGTTTGAAGGGTTTACATATATCAACAGAGGGACAAAACGGACAAATCGGACAAAACGGACAAAACGGACAAAACGGACAAAACGGACAAAACGGACCAATCGGACAAAACGGACAAATCGGACAAAACGGACAAAACGGACAAAATGGACAAAACGGACATATGTCTAAATCGATTCGCCTGGCGGAAGGACTCTCACGAAGACACTACGATACACTAAAAAGGCTCTTTATGGGGAAGACAACGAATTTGTCACCATTTTGGAATAATAACTAACGCCCGAATATGTCGATTATATTCCGTTATTATTTTCTTGTCTTATCGCAAAATGGAGCTGCAACTGCCAATCAGAACGCTTGGCTTCAATTCATATGCGCTTAAAATGAAGCTTAGATTAACTGATAAGGCGACAGAAGAAGAAGAGAGAGATAAGAGCAGCGATACACCTATGCGCGCATAACTAGGCACGAGCGGTCTGCTCCGAACATAGGCATTTTCAAGTTTTACCTAATCAATAATAGTTACTAGAGGTATATTGATTCGAGTTATGTGAATTCCTCAAGCAGGACATTAATCACATTAAACCCTTTCACCTAATGGCCTATGGACAAGTTACACAAAACTATCCAAAGAATGGGGCTAAAGTTATATAAACTATCCACCCGGATCCGAAAAGTCAGAGACTGGGATTGTCATTCGCCGGCGGGCAGCACAGGATGAACACTAGCGCATTGCTCGACTCGTATTATGAACTATCCGGTGAGCAGATGAATCACATTAACGAGGTGGTGGCCCGGGCCCTGCTCCATGTGGTCCATCATCATATACTCAGTGTGACGCCTTCGTTGGTGCTCACCCTGTGCTGCCGGAGTGAGCATACTTGCAACTTTTACAACGAAATGATGAGCACATTGTTCCGGGAGTGGGGACTGGCTCCGCTTCAGATCGTCAATGTGCAGCGGGGTGTGCCATGGCAACCGGTTGCTGGGCGGCGGCACTTCAACGTTATCTTCACGGACTCCTTTGCCGCCTTCTCGGAGATTCGGATGGAGTACTATGCCCGGGAGTATAACTACAATGAGCACTACTTCATCTTCCTGCAGGCTCGAGATCGTCTGCTCCAGGGCGAGATGCGGCTAATCTTTGACTATTGCTGGCGCTATCAGCTCATCCATTGCAGTGTCCAGGTGCAGAAATCCAATGGGGATATCCTCTTCTACAGCTACTATCCTTTTGGGGAGCGGGGATGTGCAGATATGGAGCCGCAGTTGATTAATCGCTATAATGGTAGCACACTGGAGGAGCCGGAGATCTTTCCAAGGAAACTGCGTAACTTCTATGGGTGTCCTGTGAGATGCGCCCTCTGGCATTCACCGCCCTTCCTGCGGCTGGCGGAGGAGGATGTGGATGCCATCTCAGTGACCGGTGGCTATGAGGGACGCCTGCTCTTGGCCCTGGCCGAGAAGATGAACTTTAGCATCGCTGTGCGTCCGATACAGAGGAACGTCCGCGATGGCACCTTGGAGATGGTGAGTATTTCAGGTATCTATAAGAATTTAGTCCTTAACCTTCTTTATCCTTGCAGCTGCAGCGCGGCGAGGCGGATCTAACCCTGGGTGGTATCCGGCAGACAGTGGACCGAGGTATGGTGGCCACATCGACGCACAATTACCATCAAACCCGGGAGGTTTTCGGCGTGCTAGCTTCTAGCTACGAGCTGAGCTCCTTGGACATTCTGCTTTACCCATACCGCCTGCAGATCTGGCTGGGCATACTCGGTGTGGTGGCTCTGTCGGCTCTCCTACAGCTGGCTGTGGATCGGCTGCTCCGGGAGCATGGTGCTGATGCGAATCTGGGAGCACGTTCCTGGCTCAATCTGGAGCTTATATTCGTGGGTATGCCACTAATGGATACACCAAGGAGTCACACTGCCCGGCTCTACTGCCTGATGCTAATGATGTACACACTGATCATCCGGACCATCTATCAGGGCTTGCTCTACCATTTGATCCGGACACATCAGCTAAACCGGTGGCCGCAGACCATTGAATCCCTGGTGGAACGTAACTACACGGTAGTGCTGACACCCATTGTCCTCGAGGTGTTAAAGGAGATACCCAGCGTTCAGCATATGAAGTTTCGTTTGCTGGAGGATCCCGGCACCGAGCTGGAGCCGCTCAACTTCCTGGAGGCGAATCATCAGCTGCGTCGGCATGTGACCGCCTCTGCCCTGGATATTTTTGTCCAGTTTAATCGTCTGAGCGCTGTGCAAGTTCACCAGGAAGGCGGCAACTCTGCGGAAACGGTAGCCCATTTTGAGATTGTGCCAGAGGATATCATCAATATGCAGTTGACCATGTATCTGACCAAGCACTCCTTCCTTGTTGACCACCTGAATGAGGAGATCATGTGGATGCGATCTGTGGGTTTACTGGCCGTGTGGTCCAGGTGGGAGCTGGTCGAGACCTATCTGCGGAGTGAGCAGAGCTACCAGATCCTGGGCCTCGTCGAGCTCTATGCCATCTTCCTGATAGTCCTTGTTGGCCTGCTCCTCAGCCTTGTTGTCTTTCTGTGTGAGCTGCTCTCCCTGAGATGCCGGCTTCTAAAGAGGTTCTTTTCCTAGCAGTTCAAGGATCAGAAGGGGTTGCAAGTTACTTATAAGCTTATCTTTACTTAGAATATATCGTGCTCTTAGATATAAGTATTTTGTATTTTATATTTTTTTGGCAAGCTAGTATATGCAACATAATGTTTCATTTTTTTTTAAAGATATTTCTTTACTTGAGGGATTAGTAGTAGCATACATAACTTAATTATAATTTATAATATATAAAATAAATATCGTATACTATATATATATATAATATTCCACTATTTTTTATTGGTTTGGGTTTTGTGTTTGTTTTGAAGGGATTTGGTTGATTTTGGGTTGGGAAGGGGTTTCAAAAACTTTGTTTCTCCTTAAGCTCAAACTTGGCATTTACCTAATTAAAGTTACAAGTTAACTAATTAATTAAATATCTCAAATTTAATTATAAATCAAAGAAATATTTTCTAGATTTTTATTTTTATTTTTTCAACGAAGTTAACTCATTTTTATTGCCGTGTTTGTAGATGACTTTGAGCGGCGGTGTGGTTTCACTGGACAACCAGGACATTATCCGGCTATTTGTAAACCTCTTACGGCCGACATGGCGTTTGCATGAACCTGACACTGGCTCTTGCCTCCCTCCCCCTTAGTCCCCTAGTCACCCCTTAACCCATAGCACTATGGGCCAGGCGGCCCGGATTTTGGCCAAAATGGTCAAAAATGTTGTAAAGAAAATTAAAAAAAAAGGAAAACAATCAAAATAAAAATTTCCTGCCCCTTTGCGGGCAGCTTTAGTCACATCGAAACGCTTTTAATGTAACTAGTAGAACCCAAAATTAAAGAAAAAATGTTTTTTATATATTTCACATATTACTTTACAAATAAATTTAAAAAGAACACAGATTTTTCCCCATTTTTTTACAAGTTGTGATTTCAAACTTGGGGTACCTCGACGTACCACCTCCGATCAAATTGAAAAAAATTTTAAAAATAACTTTGAATATTTTGCTTTTACGAATAAGTTGTCTCGAATGCGCACTCTGATGTTTTTTATACCAAAATCAAATTTTCAAACTTATATTAATAAAAAAAAGTCTTTATAAAACTGCCTAAAAGCAGGCAAGAAAAAATTCAAGCAAAAGTACAATTTCAAAAAATTGTGGCATACTTTCAGGTCCACGTCACAAGCATCTGTAACAATAAATTTTTTGCTGAAAACTTAAACAAATTATTTGTTTAAAAACCACTTTTCTTTATTTTTGTTGTAATAGAGACCATATTGGACGTAAAAATAAAAAATTTCGGTAGATTGCTTCAAAGCCGTTCATGTAATTGAGACTAGAAATCTGAACTTAAAGGGCTTAAAACTAAAAAACTACTACATTTAATACAACAAATATATTATTTTTCTAATAAATATTATCTAAATAATCATTTCTATAAAATGAGATTCAAATAGAATTGTTATTTTTTTTTAAATAAAAAACAAAAAAAAAGAAAATATTTTTCAGCTTTAGTAGGGATTATCTTCATTACAAAAAATATTTTGTGTTACTAATTTTTGAACACATAAAATGCAATGTTTTGAGAATGTGCATGCAAAATTTTATGTCTCTAAAAAATATATTTTAGAAGTTATAGAATTTTGGCCAAATAATGAATTTCCTGGCCCACAGTGCATAGGTGTATGGTGTGTGTGTGTGTGTGTCTGTGTGTGTGTGCCGTTGATGGTGTTAATTTATGGTTATGCGCCTCATGCATAATACTGACACCGAAACCTGTCACGCACATGCCTCCGGAACGGACTCCGGGGAGGGAGAGGGCACAGCACCGGTTCCAGTGGGTGGTGGGTGGTGTGTGGTGGGTGGTGGGTGGTGGCCAGGTGGATTGGGTGTCTGGATAGTGCTCGCCCCGTACGCGGCAATTAGTTTAAGTGATGAACACGGATTTGTTAATGCATTACCTTTACCCACGAGTAATTTGTATGGGTTTTTTTTCTTCCAAATAATACATGACAGGGTTCCGTTGGGAAAACAGTGTTAATAAAAATATTTTAGGGACAACTGCTTTCGCTTAGAGTATTTAAATAATATTAATAAATAAATGAAGACTTCAAATAAATGGTTTATAAATATAAAATGTCTTAGAGTTAAGGAGAAGAATGATTCCCTTGATGGTTATTATACACCTAAGTAAGAAGCTTAAAAAACTGTGAATTAGTAACTTTTGACCCCTTAAATCATATATATTCTTGATCAGTATCAACAGGAGAAACTTTTTAGTAAACAAATTTAATTTTTCTACATTTTAAATTAGGTATTCAGATTTATTAATCCTCTAAAAACTCGCATAGGAAAGGTTGATTGAAATTAATGCATTTTTGTCATTTAAAAATATAAATTAAGAATGGTATTAAATTAAAATATATGTCATAGCTTAAGACACTTTAATATTTAATTTTAAAGGTACATAAAGAAAAAAACCCACTGTACAGATACAAGATTTTGCAGCATTGATAAGAAACCCCTTAAAACCAAGCAAATTCCCTTATGCCAAATCAATTCCCTTGCCTTGCTTCGATTGCAAAAATTTCATTCGCTATAAAATCGGGAAAATGTCCTGCAAAATATAACACTTTTATAATGAAACTCCACCGAACCGTGACTTGGCTGCTCCTGTCGCTGCTCCTGAGTACTCCTGGAGAGGCCAGCCTGTGGCCAGATCAGCATCCCATGGAGGAGCTCCTAACCATGCGCATCTCTGGAATATTGCAGGAGATCTTCACGAATGCCTTTGCTGCCCACAATTTGAGTGTCTTCATTAGCACCGCCTACAAGCAGATGGCCAGGGATCGGGTGAAGCTGGTCCAGAGGGTCCTGGATCACAGTCTGGGTCACCATCAGTCGGCAGTGCCCATTGTGTTGGCTTCCCGTCTCTCGCACAAGATGAGCTGCCAGGTGCTCATCCAATTGCTGTTTGTTCAGTGTCCCGAGGAAGCTATGTACATCACTCACTGGGAAATTACAGCAGCTATATATATATATATATATATTTTCTTTTTTTTCCTAGAGCCATTGCATCGGACTTGAAGAAGAACAATCTGTATGTGATTGTGTGGCTAACAACCTTGCCGGAGTCTAGGCAAGGTCCTCCAATGTCCAAGATATTCGAGTACTTTCTGCTGGAACGCTATAACATTAATGTGGTCATTCTAGTTCCAAGTCTCCATGCTGTTCGAGCCTACAATGTTCGGCCATACACACCCACAAATTGCATGAGCTTGGAACCGGTGGAGATTGGGCTAAAGAATGTCCGCATTTGGAGTCTCTTTCCGAAGCGATTGAATGACCTATACGGTTGTCCCTTAAGCGTGATTGTATGGGATATACCACCCTACATGACGGTGCACTGGGAGCGAAGTAAGCTGGCGGAGCAACTGGAGGGACTGGATGGATTGCTGCTACAGATCGTGGCCGCCAAGATGAACTTCACCCTGCGACTGGTGCGAAATGAGCCAGAGGGTTTGATCGGTGGTTCCAGCCACTTGAATGGTAGCTTCACTGGCGCCTATAAGATGCTCCGCGAGCGGAGGGCAAACTTCACGATTGGTTGTGCCGCCTGTACACCGGAGAGATCCACCTATCTGTCCGCCACTGGTCCCTATAGCCAGATGGCCTACGTGATTGTGATGAGGCCGCGGAGTGGCTATAGCATCTACGAGGTAATGCTTTTCCCCTTCAATCGCTATGCCTGGCTCCTACTGGCCTCCCTGGCCAGCATTCACTGGCTCCTGGGCAGCCGCTGGCGCCTGCCTTCACCCGCTCTGGCCGGCTGGATGCTCTGGATTTTTGTGATCCGTGCCAGCTATGAGGCATCCGTGTTTAACTTTATACACAATTCACCGGTGAAGCCACTCCCGCAGACCTTTGAGGATATGCTGCAGGCGGGATTCCATTTCATAACCGATCATGCCACCTATCGGATGACCCTGAAGGTGCCAGCGTTCCAGGGCAGGACTCTGATTTCGCCAGGACAGCCGGTGGATGTTTTCGATGCTCTGCTGAAGGAGCCCGGCTTGGCCGGCGCCTTCACCAGTCGCGCTTTCTTGGCTCAGCATTTAACCCGGCATCGGAATGAACGCCACCGATTGGTGATTCTTGCCGAGAAGATGCTGGACAACATGCTGTGTGTATATTTTCCGCGTGGCTCATACTTTGCCTGGGAGTTCAATGAGATCCTGTTCAACATGCGCAGCTTTGGTTTATTTCAACATCACTCACAGCGGCTGGATTGGGGTAGCATGCCGTATACCTCGGATTCCTTGGGCAGGTCCTACTCCTCCGCCACTGAGAGTGCAGCCCAGGGCCGTGCCGAATCCATGGGCTTTGTCCTGGCCGCCTTCAACTGTCTGCTGGCTGCCCACGGTGTTTCCTTGGCGCTGTTTGGCCTGGAGCTGCTCAGTCGAAGGAGGCCAAGCTGGCGTGGATTAGCCTGGCTAATGGAGAGATTGTAAGGAGGAGTCCGATATATACTTAATTATATATTTACCGACTTATGCAATAAACCCATTTAATAAGCTTAATGCCCTGCGTAGTCGACGATGCCCAGTGGCAGCGGAGAGGAGCTCCAGGCCAAAAACCAGGATGGCCAGCAGCTGGAGGGCACCGCAGCAGGCAAAGATTCCGGAAAGCCGCCAGAGGGTTAGCGGCTGTGGCTCCATGCTGCGTCGCCGCTTGGCCATTCGCTCGATGCGGTCCAGGTACATGTTCCGAAAGCGGAACACAATGCCCGAGGACATCATGGCCATCAGCAGGCGATCGATGCGTCGCTTGAGATACGAGTGGGGTCGCATGTACAGCGTCAGTGGGGCGGTCATCAATGGCAGCGGCAGGACGGCCAGGTGGTTCCGATTCGGTCCGGAACGATAGTCAAACTGGTAGACAGTTGGCTGGAGCAGCGGCACTGCTATGCCCGGGTCATCTTCATCCCGCAGCCGGAGTAGCGATGCCTCATGGTTGGTCACCACACGTACCCGAGTGGCGGGCATCGAGTCATGGAAAACGCTCTGCAGGGCGGGCAGCATGTGAAACACATAGTCCTGGGCCACCACCTCGGACAGCTCTTGGAGTGGGGCCCGCATTTCCACGTCCTGCAGGAGTAGGTAGAGCTGCCCAGTGTAGGCGGCTCGCAGGATCAGGGTCTTGAAGAGCCACACCAGCAGCAAATATCGGGCAAAATTCCGTCGTGGATGATACAGGGCCATGCTGCCCATTAGGACATTCCACAAGCCCAGGCAGGCCCAGCGATTGTCCCTGCCCAGGACCAGGTGGCGTAGAGCTCTCGGTGGCTGTCTCAGTCTTAGCAGCCCGATTAGCAGCAGGCCCAGGATGAGGCTCACCAGGACGCAGGACCAGATGATGTAGCGAAAAGGACGTGTGAGTCTCTGCAGTGGAGTCATTGGACCGCCGCTGGGAATGCACAGGACAATGGGGAAACTCATGTAGGACACGCTGGGCAGCATCAGATCCGAACGAGCTTTGCTGTACATGAAGCACACAAAGGTAAGGTTCGCCTCGCCATCGACAATCTGCAAGAGAGAGATATAGTTGAAAAAATATTACGCATTATGCCCTGTGATCCACTTACCATTTTGAGTATGCCCGTGTAATTGCCATCTTGCCGAATCTGGCCACGATCTTTGTTCTTTGGTTCCACAAGCTTAATGCTGAAGTTCATCCGCTCGGCAAGTGTATTCACAATTCTGCCCTCGATGCCATGCAGAATCCTGGCTCCCTTTTGCTGCGGATCATCTTCAAGGATCACATACGGACGATGCTCAAAAGTGGCAGCCACCAGCTGACAGCCATGCATATTGGCCAACTTGCTCGGGAAGAGCGGTTTGGTCAGACCAACCACGCCAGGCTCCAGCTCCTGGAAGGCCGTGTAGAAAACAGGCAACGACGACTGGCAGCGATGCGGTCCATAAGGATAATAGGTGTACACATGGACACTCCCATTGCTCTGCAGGAGCACGCTCACATTCAGCACATACATATTGAGCAATCGCCGGAACATAATCTTAATGGACTCCATTGGCTGCGCCTCCAGGCCGGTGTAAACCAGCAAAAAGTTACCAGTTCGCTTGTAGGGACTCCCCAACTGATTCAGGTACAATTCCAGGCGAAAGTATGAGCGGAGGCTATCCAAAAACCAAATGGCAATGGGTCTGCCTGCGACTCCACTCGGCGGTGGCAGGTCACTCTCCTCGGTGGCATTGGTGCCGCTCAAGGAGGTCTCAGTGCGGTCATCCTCCAACTGAAACTGGATTCGTCCTGAACCTGCCGCCTTGACCAGAGCCTCGTCGATCAGATCGTTGTGATGGCCACGACTGGCCCGGCTGGTGGGGAACTTAACCACTGCCAGGGCAGTGCTGGTGGAGCGTCCATAATAATGGTCAATGGCCCAGACCAAGGCATAGACCAGGGTCACGTTCTGCATGATGAGGCTTCTTCGCTGGCCAGAGTCCAACTGGATGATGTCCTGGTTCCGTCATCATGGTATGCCTAAAGGCTTTTAAGGCACAGTGGAATGTCTGCAGGGATTTCAAATATTTATTAATACAATGAATACATTTCAAAACTCATTTCACAAACTTTAAGTGCATGAAATATAGTTCTTATTACCTTGTTTATCTTTTAAGAAATTAAATTAATAATTTTATTAATTAATTTATAATTTTTGTTGTATTTTTTGTATCACTGTGCTGTGGCTCGTTAGCCTTATCTGAAAGGACAGCACTTAGTTGGCCCATCAAATTGCGTGCTGAAGGTTCCATTTATTGTTATCTGTAATGCAAATGTATTATTAATAAATCTTAAATATATACAATATTATTTAATGGCAATTTTATGACTGTTTTGCTTAAATTATGAATGTTTTAAGTATTTTATGACCAACCAGGCTTGACTAAAATATCCAAATATACTTGCAATAAATATTAACAAACTCAGCTATTTTAAATTTACCTAAATTCATTTAATATTTAGAGAGGCAACAAAACATTCCTTAATAAAAAAACAAACCACAAGAAAGTAGGTCACATAATAAAAAACTAAAAAATGTGATTACGAGACAATTAATTGAGGTATTTTTATTTTGTTTTGTTAACACCTTTCAGACTTGGCGTTTTTTGTTTTGTCAGATATTTATATGGATTAAAGGTAAAGGGCTTAACAAAATATAATAAAAACAATAAGTAAATAATTCTAATTCTAATTCTGCAATGTATAATAACTGCATTATTTTGTAAGCTATTTTATTTATTACAAAGAAAAAATTTTGGTTTAATAGAAATATGTATAAGACCAACTCTTTAGCAATTATTTGATAATTAAACTTTAATTTAAATATAAATTTATCTTACAAATAATAAACATAAATCAGTAATTAACTATGAACAGTAAATAATTATGAGCACTAAGTAAGTCTGAGCAGTAAGGTATATGACTAGTTACTAACTTTGAACACTAGTAAACAATGTGTGCACCTGCTGCGGTCTTATCTCTTCTCTTTCTTATCTATTTCCCTATATCTTCTTCTTCTGTCGCCTTATCTCTTAATCTAAGCTACAAACATTGTAAGCGCATATATATTGAAGATAAGCATTCGATTGACAGTTGCAGCTCCAACGAGAGAACATTAAAACAAGAAAATAAACAAGAAAGGAAGGTTACTTCGGCACGCCGAAGTTTATATACTCTTGCGGATAGAACTTTGAGGAATCAATACAAAATAAAATATATATATTTATGTTATAAAAACCATTTCCAAAAAATTGTACACAAAATTGTAAAGTAATATTAAATGGCTATATATTAAATTTGATTAAATTCTGTTGGAAACTGAAAATTGTATAATTTTTTATAACTTTGATCATGAATATATATACTTTATATGGTCGGAGGTGCCTCCTTCACTGCGATGCAAACTTCTGACTGAAATCATAATACCCTGCAAGGGTATAAAAATAAATACGGCATATAATCGACCTATTCGTGCGTTAGTTATTATTGCTCACGGGTGTATGTTATATGTAATGTAAACGACTTGCAATTTTTGTAACACAACACCTATATAATTTTACTAGTATATTAGACGAAGAAGGGCGAATCGGTGGACTATATATATTTTTACAGTTTTCAACAGATTTTCATCAAATTTGTATGTAATATATATATATATATATAATAGTCATGATTAAGACTTACCTCAGTTAAGGCCACGTCATTGTTTACTTCCTTCCTTTAATTAAGGTAATCATGGCATCGTAGATCACTTCCTGTTATTTAATGCAACAAATATATTTTTTTCTAATAAATATTATCTAAGTAATCATTTCTATAAAATGAGATTCAAATCGAACTGTTAGTTTTTTTAATAAAAAACAAAAAAAAGGAAATATTTTTTAACTTTGTAGAGATTATCTTCATTAAAAAAAATATTTTCTATTACTAATTTTTGAACACATAAAATGCAATGTTTTGAGAATGTGCATGCAAAATTTCATGTCTCTGAAAAATTTATTTTAAAAGTTACAGAATTATGGACAAAAAATGAACTTCCTGGCCCATAGTGCATTGGCCGGATGACACGCCAGCGGTCGAAGGGTAATCATTAGATAACTATGATCAGTATATATCTATGATCAGTAATTAAATATGATCTGTAAGTACCTATGACCAGTGAGTATGTATGATCAGTAATTAACTTTGAACACTAGTAAACAATGACTTGCAACTTTGGAAACACAACACATTTCCGAGACATGGCCAGCAGCAGTCACTTCGTTCCGGGGTGTTAGAACTAGTTGGGAATCATATGCTCCTATGTGCGAGATTTTTTTTGAATAAATTTAAGAGCATGCTATTGGAGCCATAAAGTTATTCTTCTATATAATTATACTAGTATATAAATCCAATAAGGGCGAATCGGTGGACTATATATATACATACATATAGCTGCCATAGGAACGATCGGAAAATTGTAAGAAAAAATTGATAACTTTTACTGTTTTTAACAGATTTTCATCAAATTTGTTTTTCAATTTTATTTATTCAATGAACACACGTCAAAAGATAACAAAGCTTTTCCATTGAACAACAGCAAAATGGTAACATGATCTCTGTGTGGTCTTTATCTTATAACGACTCATTTCCATTGAACAAAAAATAAATGATAATGATGATATTTGTCTGGTTTTTTAATGCATTATTTAAGTTTTATTTTAAATGAAGCTATGACTATCTGGCTTACGCATTATGTCGCTTTGAATCGTGACCGAAATTCGGATGTGAGTAATTTCACAATCTTGGCGACGCGTCGCCAGTATTTATCTGAATGCGAATGATAATCTGAAACTGTCAAAGGTCGCTGTGCCGTCTCAAAGACTTAATAATATATATTATATATATTTTTTTTTATTTTCTTTACTTTCTTAAATTTTGCACTTTTTTGCTAACCTCGGCGAAAACCACCCGCTGACCGAAACTCTGTTTCCCTTGTCGCTACAAGTTTATACCTTTTTTTTGACTTGACTCGAAAACGCGCTGACCTCAGCCACCTTGCTCAATTTGGTGGTCAGGGAGGAGGTGGAGGTGGTGTTGGTGGTGCTGGTGACACACAAACCATAAGACGATCGAGAATGCCATGGCTCCCCACCGTCACCACCGCCTGAAGGGCAGCACCTGCAGCATGGCCCTCACTAAAGAGCCAGGTGCGGATTTCACGATCTCTCAATAAATATACCCACAATAAGGGGTAATGGTTTTAAGTATATAATTTTGTTATAATATAATAATTAATAAATAAATTATATCAATGTGAAATACATACTTGCAATAGCCTAGCCAATCTAGCCATGTCTTTCTAACCCACTTGTTTGTCCTTTCATTTAAACTCTAATAAAGATAATAATAATAAACAAGAAAGTAAGATAACTCTTGGAAGCTAAAGTGTTTTTACTATAGGATCCTATGGGTTTGAATGTTTAATAGATCAGATTAAAGCCAAAAGGGCATTAATTTAAATTTCGAACATTTAAAAATATGTGTATTCTAGGTATCAATATATTTATATGGTAATTTTTTGGGTAAATCGAAGTTTTTCAAATATCATAACTAAGCCAAAAATGCACTAATTTAAATTCGGATAACATATCTGAGTTAGTTTAAATTAAATTTATAAATCTGCATATAATAGTATACAAATTCAAAAGATTTAATTTTTTGTCAATTTTTGACAATTTTAACGATGTAACCCCTTATAAAATTTAAAAAAATGTTTGAAAATTTATTTTTTTGCCGGACATGGTTAGATCGATTCGCCTGTTTATGCTGATCAAGAATATATATGATTTATAGGGTCGGAAATGACTCCTTCACTTCTGACTAAAATTATAAACCCTTACAAGGGGCATAATAATATAGAAAAAGTTGGAACCAAAGTCACTTTCAGTTTTGAATCTATTCGTAAATAATTTATAATTAAATTAGCGTGTTAACTTTGAGTAGAAGTTGGTAGAAATCATCAATACAAATTGCTCAATCACTTTAGTTTATAATTAAGTAATGAGTAAGTAATTAGGTAATGAGTAATGGCAATAAGGAAACTAATGATTAAATAAATGCATAGCTGCAGCTGTATCTAGTTCAAGGCCTGATCATATCTTAATCATCTACATATATAAATAATATAATAGTCATGATTAAGACTTACCTCAGAGAAGGCCACGTCATTGTTTACTTCCTTCCTTCAATTTGGGTAGTCATGGCATCGAAGATCACTTCCTGTTTATCCAGATGCATTCCCTTGGCCACGTCATCTTGTTGCGGTTGAAGAGTTATCACAATCACTATCACTGTCGATGTTTACACTAGGTACCCCTAGGACTGACTGAAGGCGCGGCGATCGAAGTGCCCCTATTTATACTTCCCGAGGCAAGATAACAGAGAAAGAGAGCGAGAGGGAAAGAGCTACCTCTGTAGCAGCAACAGAGGGAGATAGAGCGTAAGCGCCACCTCTACAGCGCTGTAACAGAGGGAGGCAGCCATACGAAATGTTATTGTGAGTACGAATGAGAGCGAGAGGCAGAGGTTTACAGAGGCATAGAGAAAGAGAGGGCGAGAGTAATGTTATAATATTATAATATATATATTATTAATTAATGTTAATTTTAATATTAATATTCTTGAAATCGAAATTTTTATATATATTATTATTAATAATATTAATATTAATATTAATAGATATTAATATTATAATAAATTATTAATATTATTAATTATATCATATCTATAAATTAAGTATGCAGATTTATTAACCCAATTTAAACTTGAAAAATAGAAAAGCTTTCCGAATTGAAATTAATGAATGTTTGCCTTAGTTATGAGTTGTTTAAAACTTTAATTTGTCAAAAAAATTGGCATTGAAATATATCAATAAATATAAATTTTTAAAATGGGAATATTTTAAATTTAGTTGTGATCAATTTTTGTTACGATCATTTAATTTTATTGCAAACTGCAAGAGAATAGAAACTTCAGCTACCCAAATTTAATTTCAGTTCTTGTTTTGACATTAAATATTTTATTATTATTTTTAATACTCTAGCTGAATATTATAATTTTAATCAGAAGTTTGAAATGCATTTATTAATGTTAATTTCCTAACAATAACATCAACAGCCCTCTCCCTCCCTCTCTCTTGCTCTCGAGCACTATGTTATTCTGTATGTCCAACTCCATATTAATAATATTATCAATATTAATTAATACAAATTTTTAATCAATACAAATTGCTCAATCACTTTAGTTTCTAATTAAGTAATGAGTAAGTAATTAAGTAATGAGTAATGGCAATAAGGGAACTAATGATTAAATAAATGCATAGCTAGCACAGCTGTATCTAGTTCAAGGCCTGATCATATCTTAAGCATCTACATATATAAATAATATAATAGTCATGGTTAAGACTTACCTCAGAGAAGGCCACGTCATTGTTTACTTCCTTCCTTCAATTTGGGTAGTCATGGCATCGAAGATCACTTCCTGTTTATCCAGATGCATTCCCTTGGCCACGTCATCTTGTTGCGGTTGAAGAGTTATCACAATCACTATCACTGTCGATGTTAACACTAGGTACCCCTAGGACTGACTGAAGGCGCGGCGATCGAAGTGCCTCTATTTATACTTCCCGAGGCAAGATAACAGAGAAAGAGAGCGAGAGGGAAAGAGCTACCTCTGTAGCTGCAACAGAGGGAGATAGAGCGTAAGCGCTACCTCTACAGCGCTGTAACAGAGGGAGGCAGCCATACGAAATGTTATTGTGAGTAAGAAAGAGAGCGAGAGGCAGAGGTTTACAGAGGCCTACAGAAAGAGAGGGCGGGAGTAATGTTATAATATTATAATTTATATATTATTAATTAATGTTAATTTTAATATTAATATTCGTGAAATCGAAATTTTTATATATTTTATTATTAATAACATTAATTTTAATATTAATAGATATTAATATTATTATAAATTATTAATATTATTAATTAAAAATATTATTAATTAATATTAATAATATTATTAATATGGAGTTGAACATACAGAATAACATAGTGCTCGAGAGCGAGAGAGAGAGGGAGGGAGAGGGCTGTTGATGTTATTGATAGGAAATTAACTTCTGATTAAAATTATAATATTCAGCTAGAGTATTAATAATAATAATAAAATATTTAAATTTAATTAATTAAATTTGGGTAGCCGAAGTTTCTATTCTCTTGCAATTTGCAATAAAATTAAATGATCGTAACATAAACTGATATCATATAGCTTCTGTAAATAATGACAAGCGAGCTGAATGCCTTAGTTGCTATAGCTCTAGAACATAAGTTAGCTCCTGGTTTTTAACTATATGTTAGCTTTAGATAAATAAATAAATAAATATCATAAAGCTGTCATACAAATTTAAATTCCAACCTCTTCCACGTGACTCCGGCCCTGCTGTTCCGGCTTATTGTTTACCGTGCATCATTTGCGCTGATTCCATGGAAACGCTGGCCAACGAAATAGTTGAGCAAGGTTTTTGCAGCTCTTGCAGCTGCAGCGGCTGCTGTGGTCTCGTTCTCGATTGGGGGCACACACACGGAAACGTTAACCATATTTACCGCCACCTCTCCCCTTTTTCTTTTGCTGCTGCCGCTGCCGCTGGCGGTGCGTGCAAAATGCTGCAGTGCATCGGTCACGAATCCGACGACGTCAACACTTCTGAGGCGGCAAAAAATCTATTTGGGCCACTGTCCGGCGGCAATCGGCAGTCAGTTGGCCAACGAGCTCCGGCCCACACCGATCGCAAACGATCGATCTTCCCGAGACTTTCGCCAAAGATAAACACAGGATGAGACCGCATAGCCAGCTGCTGATCCTGGCGCTACTCGGTGTCCAGGTGGCTGCCCAAACCTCCTGCGATCCGGCCGCCTTGGGTCAGGCCACAGCCACAAAGACGGGTGAGGATGCCACAGCCACAGCAGATGTGGCAACTGCAGCAACTGGAGAGGATGGGGCAGCAGGCACTGGGACTGGCGATGGCTTTCAGGATGGCAAGGTGAGTGTGTGGGTTAGACGGGGGTTTCTCTTACGGGTTTCCATAATACTATGTCGTTCCAGCAGATTCTATCCCAGGCGCCGCCCATTAGGGCCTTTAGCCGTGGCAACCCAACGGTGGATGCCTTGTACATGATGTTCCCAGCCTTGGGCAGCCTCATCCACTGGGGCAGCCTCTTTCCGGCGTACTCTTTCCTGGGTGCTCCAGCTCCCGGCTCGGAGGCTGCTGCCTCTAAGGTGGTACTGGTCCTGGCCGATGAAGCTGCAGCCAAGACCCGAGTCACCCGTCAGAATGATCCTACAAGTCAACCGAATCCCTTCTCGTTCCTGACCAACTTCCAGAACTTTCCCAGCATGCCCAACGTGCCTAGCTTTGATGCCGCTATGGTTGGCCAATCGTTAATGAATCCGCAGACTGCTTTTACGGCGCTCCAGGGTCTTCCTGGTCTCTCGGGCATGCTGGGTGCTGCTGCTCCTGCTCCCGTTCCCGCGCCAGCTGCCGCTCCAGCCGCCGATGCCGCCGCCGAGACTGCTCCCACACCGGCTCCAGCTGCGGCGCCATCTGCAACTCCAGCTGCTGGCTCAGTGTTGGGTCAGGCCTGGAACATTCCAAACTTCGATGCCAACAACATGCTGGGCCAGACCATGACTCTGTTGTCCCAAATGCCGCCAGTTCAGGCTCCGGCGAACTTAGCGCCTCCCAATTTCGATTTCCTGGGTCAAATGTTCCAACAACCGGCCGCCTCTGATATCTCCGAGGTGCGGGTGAGGCCAGAGGTTGCCTATGCCCCAGAGGCGCAGGTGGCTCAGCTCAAGATCAAGACGGCGCTGGAGAAGGAGCAGCAGCAGCAGCAGCAGGGGGATCAGGAACGAGTGCCACTCCTCTGGTTCCGTATGCCCAGCAATCCCACAACCACGGAGGATCAGAAGACACTGGAGGATCTGCGAGTGGAGGCCAAGCTGAGAGCCTTTGAGCGCCAGGTGATTGCCGAACTGAAAATGCTGCAGAAGATTGAACTGATGGCCAAGGAGATGCGTTCCAGTGCAACGGCAACGCAAGGCAAGGATTCGCCCTACAAGATTAGTTATCCCCTGAGCCGGACGCCCGTCCACAAGATCACGCGCTCGGACATCGAACGAGCTCTTCGCGATGACTATGTCCGTCGGCTGCTCCAGAAGGAGGCGCAACGCAAGTCCAGGATTACGGAATCACATCGCAATACCGGCGGCTACAAGCGTCAAGTGGAGAAGCCTAGCCAGAGTATGTCCAAGGAGGACATTATCCAGATCATGGCCTATGCCTACCGCATGGCCAACGAACAGATGGAGGACAAGAGCAAGCAGGACAAGATCTATGCCGCCTACAGGACAGGAACCGAGGATGCAGCAAAGCCAATAGAGCAGATGCAAGAGCAGCGCCAAATGATTCAAGATATGCAGCAAAGTCAACAGCACCAGGAGAGGCAGATGGTACCCGGAGGCGCCATCCAGCAGAATCCACAGATGATCCAGCAGAATCCCATGATGATCCAGCAGCAGCAGGAGAGGCAGATGATTCAGCAGCTGCAGCAGCAGGAGAGGCAGATGATGGCCGATCCTCAAGCTATCCAGCAGCACCAAATGATGCAAGGTCCACAGATGATCCAGCAGAGTCCCATGATGATCCAGCAGCAGCAGGAGAGGCAGATGATGCCCGATCCTCTGGCTATCCAGCAGATGCAGCAAAGACAATGGGCCGAGGAGCAGGCCAAGATCCAGCAGCGGCAGATGCCAGGAGCCACAGATCCACACATGATCCAGCAGAATCCCACAATGATGCAGCAGCGGCAGATGGCAGTGGAGGAGCCCCAAGCTATCCAGCAGATGCAGCGCCAAATGATCCACCAGAATCCCATGATGCAGACAGATCCCCAAGCCATGCAGCAGATGCAGCAAAGACAGTGGGCCGAGGAGCAGGCCAAGATGAAGCAGCAGCAGCAGCAGCAGCAGCCAAGGCAAATGATGGCTGATCCCACACAGATGATCCAACAGAATCCCATGATGATGCAGCAGCGCCAAATGATGGCGGAGCGGCAGCTTCAGTGGACGGAAGATCCATCCAGAATCCAGCAGATTCAGCAGATGCAGCAGCAAAAGACCGAGGAACAGCAGGGACAAATGATGCCAGCTGAACGCCAGTGGGCCGATGAGAAGACCAAGGCCATGCAGCAATTAACTCAGCCAGAGGAGCAGGAGAACGAGAAATCCGATGAACTTATCCTGGGCGAGGCTGTTCCCCAGATGCCGGAAAACGAGGGCACTGCCCGCCACAAAGGTAATCTCTTTGGCGTCTTTCGCAATCGTGATTCCATCTCCGTCTCCCCCACAGTGGATGCCCTGGGATTGGGTGGCAATCAGCGCAAGAAGTCCAAGTCTAAGTCTGGCACACCCACAGTGGTCAATCTGTACTACTCCGCACCCGTGCAGCAGCAGCGTCCCAGCTATGGACCCAGCTATGGACCTAGTTATGCACCACCCAGCTATGCCCCACGCCCCAGCTATGCCCCACGTCCCAGCTATGCCCCACCAAGCTATGGGACTAGCTATGGAGGCGGTGGCTATGGATCGAATGCCTATGGAGCCAGTGGCTCCGCCTACCAGCAGAGACCAGTTGCCTCTGGCTATCGGGCAGCTGTGGGCAATGATGAAGTTGATGAGATGTTGCGCCGCCACCAGACACTGGCCAGGGTGAGTTTTGTTGTAGAGCCACTAGACACCTCTGGACACCACACCACATCAGCACCACACACACACATATGACACAGTAGAGCCGTAGTTGCCATCTGATCCATTTCATACGATTCATTCGCCCTTCTTCTCATGGCATTAAACAGGCGACGCATTTCAGACAATAAACCTGCAACCAGACCAGGTCGACAGGAGTGGATCCACAGATGCTCCCTCCATGACGACAACCACACCGGCGCCAGCGTTAGCACCAACGCATCGAGTCCACAAAAGGTTAGCCATCTTTCAGAGCAGGTTCGGGAGGGATGGGAATGGGGATGGGCAAGGGCAAGGGCAAGGGCATGAGACCAATTCGGCATTCAAAGGTTGCTCCTGCGGAAGATCTCAGTGTCGCTGCGGCAGTAGCTGTCTGTGTGGCAGCTCTAGGGGATTGGGATTGAGCCTGGACAGCTCCAGATGTCCCTGCAAGGCCATGAGCAGCAGTAATCGACGCCATCGACGCAGTACCGCCGAATATGGTACTCTGGAGACCATTGATGAGGGCTCCCTCAATGAATTGCGACGGGAATACAAGATGGGATTAAAGGAGATCACATTGAATCCGGATGAGGATCCTGCCGAGGCTTTGATGCGCTACAATGCAGCCTCTATAAGGGAGGCCCTGGAGCGTGCTAGCCAGGAGCCGCTAGAGATTGGCGGGGATCAATATGCCGAGGATATGCCACAGGAGCCGGAAGATGCCGAGCAACTGCAGCATGATTCGCACCAGCAGCAGCATCATCATTATCATCACCATCATCAGTACCATCATCAGGACTTTGTGCGACTGACCACAGCTGCTCCGCCGCCTTCAAACACAACCGAGGCCAGTGTCACTACAGAGGCAGCTCCCATTAGCACTGCTGCCACAATCACCACCACTGAGAGTCCTCCCAGAGAGACTGACGAAGAGGCGGAGATGCAGCAGGATTCGGCAGCTGCTGAGACCTTGCGTGTGGCTGAGGCCATGTCCCAGCAAAGGGAAGAGATCCACGAACTGCACAAGGCTGTGCATGCGTTAAAGATGCAGCTCCTGGATGCCAACAGAAGGTGCAAGATGATACAAGAGCAGCTCAAGGCGAATTTGGTCATGGAACCGGAGGAGTTGCAGGTGGAGCCCAAGGAGGAGAAGCCAATCAAGGAAGAGGAGATCAAGGCCAAGGTTGAGGAGCAGCCCAAAGAACTGGCTAAGGAAAAGGAAACGGAGAAACCCAAGCATCCGGAGGAGCAGGCAACCACAGAAAAGCAGGCCAAGGAGGCACAGCAGCCAGAGCAGGAAGAGGGTGAAGATCAGGAGGAGGACTCAGAGTGCACGGGCATCTCCACAACGACCACAGAGTCACCTACTACCCCCACCTCTCCGCCACCGCCACCACTTTCTCCTCCTTCTTCCCGCAACCAGGAGGCCAATGCCATAGCCAAGGTGGACGAGCAACTGGGCACTGCCTCTGCCATTGCCTCGGCCTCCATTGACGGCAATAAGCTGGGCTATGAGGAGGAGGAAGGCAACTGGCAGCGTATCCTGGCCAACCGGGGCTATGACACTGATTATCTGACCAAGAGCCATGAGCGTCAATATGCCGAAGGCGGTAACCTGGAGCTGCCAAAAGATGTACCCTACGAGGCACCACTCAGCCAGGAGTACTCCTCGTATCCAGATTTCCAGGCTGATGAACCCGTCTCCACTGACACCGATTCGGAGGGCAAGACCAAGAGAGCAGCCGTTCCTTTAAGTATGAAGCAACGGGCTTACATGCTGAACATGGCACTCAATGGAAATGGCCGCCGTGATGCCAATACTCCACCAACTCCCTATGCCCTGCGTGGTAAGTTTATGCGCCGGCGGAGCACGGCAGGGAGCAGGAAGAGGAACACCCGGATCAGTCAGATTAGCCAAGAGGAGATGGAAAGCCCCAGCGATGATGGTTGGGTGAGGTCCACGCGGCAGGCAAGGTTGCCACAGAGACCCAAGAAAAATGTGAAGTCTGTGGCCAAAAATGTGACTCACTTGCCCAAGAAGTCGACTCCATTAGCCAAAAAGGTGACTCCGCTGGCCAAAAAGGTCGCACCGAAAACGAAGGACACTGGCAGCTCCAGAGTAACCACACAAGCCAGTGTGAGTAGCACAAAACTGGATCGCCTGGTGGATGTGCTCAACGATCTCCTGCGCCTGCAGCTGCAGAAGGAGCGCAGATTCAGCGCCTTGAAGAGCAACAATAGTCTTTCCAAGACCACGGCCAGGAGCAGCAAGCTCGTCAAGCGCAAGAGGCTGCGAAGGAGACAGCAGCCAGCGATCACCACCATCAGAAGCCCCACTAGGATGTAATCCTTTTCAGCCCATATGTCCATAAGCCCCTCCTATACCATAACATAATCCTAACCATAATCATAATCCTAGCTTAGAGCCTAGACAAAGTAGTTCAGTAATCATTATCAAACCCAATCATCTTCATCTTCCATTTGCATGCATCAGTCCATCATCAGCACCATCCGATATCGAAACCATAGCACCACCATCTGACCCCCAAGTGGGCTCCCTTTTCACCTACGGCGAGGGATTGCTGCATCCGTTTATGGGTCTGCTGCCGGTGGAGAGACCCGATGATCCCTGGAACAACAAGCCCTATGATCCACATTATCCTTTGTACACTGGTGGTGGCAGCTATGCCGCATATTTGCGGGACGGTCGCTATCGCCGGGATACACATATTATGGGCAGCAAGCCGGGCCAGGGACCCGGAATCCTAACACCAGGCATGCTGGAGCGGCTGCTCCGCATCAAGATCGATTTCCAGCGACGATTTCCTCATCTCTACAAGGGCATGTTGAATCACCAACAGAATCAGACCCGGGTGGAGGTTGAGCCACCGGTTCTGGGCAAGATTTCAAGCGACAATAAAAAGCCAAAGGAGAAGTCCAAAAAGGAGCACTTGGAGGAGGAGGAAGCACCTGTCTACGAGCTGGGTGCTGCCGAGCGAAGCCTCTTCGAGGACGAGATGGAGAAGGATTCCCTCCTCAAGGAGTCTGAAGAGCAGGCGGAAGCAAAAACAGAGGCGGTGACCAAGGAAAGCAGCGAACCCAAGGATAACATCAGCAGCGAAACTGGGCGAGAGGATAACAACATCGACTACTTTGAGTTCGATGACGATGATGATGTTGATGACGAGACTTTTATTTGAAATGTCAATAAAAATTAATAGATAAAATGTTGATTTGAAATTTAATTTGTGGGATTAGTTCCTCATTTTAGCATATCAGAAATATAGAAAGAAAGTGAAATATGGAAAGATTGGGGGATAGAAACTCTTAATTTGAACTCCTAATTGAAAAAGTAATAACTACCGTTGTTAGGATAGGATTTCGCAAATGTTTAGCTGATTTCCTAGAGGATCCTTTAACATTATATATTATTATCGTAATAATTTCCCAGGTAATTGTTGCTAAAATATTTCTTTTACTTACATAAACAAATATATATAAAAAATATATATACAAAAGAAAGAAATAAAAAAACAATGATATATATTAAATAAAAAAATACCAAAGCCTGTCTAGGATTCTCTATTAACAAGTGCCACGAGTAGTTAATAATGGGTTAACTCCGTAACCAACTCTAGTAGTCCCGGCGGAATCCCCGTTAATGTGATACGATTAACGCGATTGGTTTGGTTAGAGCCACTCCAAAGATTTCCCTTGGGAAAAGTAAAGAGTGGGTGGTGTCAAGCACAGGAGGCTCTATTCCGTTTATTCCTTGGACGAGTCCTTAACCATGCAGTGCTGGTTGCGTGTCGTGTTTTGTGTTCTTGTTGCTAGTGCAAGGCCACAAGTGATATTTACTTCGGGATCGGTTTCGGTGACAGGATTAGCCAAAGCCTTGACAGAAGTGTTGGTAAACTCGGAAATGGGTCATCGGAAAACCCTGTATATATACACGCACATTAGGAGCCCATCGGCATCGGTGGGTTACCACTTGGAGGATCTACTCAGCCGGCTGTTGGTCAATCTGCCGTCTACGGGTCAAGGCAGGCGACTCTTTCGCCAGACTCCGATGGCATATAAACCCTATGTGCACGCTGCCCTGGTCTTGGTGGATGATCTGCAGTCACTTAGTGAGATCTACAGTCGCATCCGAGCCACACAGGATCTCTCGCATACGCTGGTCTACATGTCCTTGCCACAGGAGGTGGAGAGCGAGGAAGTGCAGCTTGCCCTACAGCTACTCTGGCGTCTCAGTGTCCTCAATGTGGGCCTGGTGCTGCGTACACCTGGCAGCTCCAATTCCAGCCAGCTCATCATGGTCAGCTACTATCCCTTTAGTGCCGATCATGACTGCCAGGTGATCAGGGCCACAGTGGTGAATCGTTTTAACTGGGAGACAAAGGCTTGGGACAGTCTGGATTACTTTCCCGAGAAGCTGGGCAACTTCCATGGCTGTCGCCTGACCTGCGCCACCTGGGAGGATATGCCTTATCTGGTCTGGCGACCCGATTCTGGTGCCGGCAAAGGATCTGCCTTCGTGGGCATCGAGGGGGCCCTGCTGCAATTTCTCTCCGACAACCTTAACTTCAGCGTTGGACTCTATTGGATGAGCAAGAATGAGGTTCTGGCCACCTTCGATGACTCTGGCAGCATTTTCGATGAGGTATGTTACACGAGTCCTTCAGGTTATGTTCATGTTTAGCACCATCTCTTGGTAGATTTTTGGTAAGCATGCTGACTTCTCGCTGGGTGGATTTCACTTCAAGCCAAGTGCCGGCAGCGAGATTCCCTACTCGCAGTCCACATACTACTTTATGAGCCACATTATGTTGGTGACGAACCTGCAGAGTGCTTACTCCGCCTACGAGAAGCTGGCCTTTCCCTTTGCTCCTCTCCTGTGGCGTGCCATTGCCGTGGTGCTGATCCTGGCCTGCCTGCTCCTGGCTGTGGTGGTGAGGCTCTGGCCCAAGCGGGAGCTGCCACCGCATCCTTACTACCAGCTGCTGGTCCTGACCATGGGCGGCAATCTGCTGGATCGCTTCCTGCCCCGGAGGCTGGCTGGACGATTAGTTATATTCACCTGGCTGCTGTCCACCTTGGTCCTGCGCAGCGGCTATCAGTCTGGTATGTATCAGCTGCTGCGCCAGGATACGCAACGCAATCCGCCACAGACTATAGCCGAGGTGTTGGCCCAGCGTTTTACCATCCAACTGGCGGAGGGAAATGAGGCGAGGATATTGGCCAGCCTGCCGGAGCTGCAGCCAAGTCAGTTGCTCCAACTGGAGGGCAGTGAGTTGCAGTCCTTTCCCGCTCTGGCCAGGCAGAGTGGCACTGCCGCCCGATTGGCTATCCTGACGCCCTATGAGTACTTTGGTTACTTCCGGAAAGTGCATCCGATGAGCCGGCGCTTGCACTTGGTTCGGGAACGTATCTACACCCAACAGTTGGCCTTCTATGTGCGTCGACACTCGCATCTGGTTGGTGTCCTTAATAAGCAGATCCAGTATGCTCATGCTCACGGGTTCCTGGAGCACTGGATGCGACAGTATGTGAGTGCCGTGGATGAGACGGACGAGAGTGTGGCCAGGATAGCCAGCACTGCGTATAGCACTCTGGATGGCATTGATGGGGATCCGAGGCTATCGGAGGCTGAGGAGCAGCAGGTGGTCGCCGTTCGGCAGAATGTCCTATCCATGAGGGAGCTGGCTGCTCTCTTCTGGCTTATCCTTTGGGCCAATATCATAGCGGTGCTGGTCTTTGTCCTGGAATCGTTACTACCTAAGGATTTTTATGGAAAACTTCAAAGGTTTTTAAGGGAAAAGCTGGGAAAATAATATGTGAATTATATGAAATTAATAAATATATGACAAGAACTTATAATTATTTGTATTCTTAAATCCCTTGAGTACTTTAAACCCTTTTAAATAAAACCTACAAAAATACCAATTTAAAGCGACGATTCCCTGTCACGTTTCTTCAATGGGGCGTCGCATAAATAATGCTGGATTTATTTGCGGGCCAGGCGTTTTAATTAAATTACTTCATAATCCACAAATGCCACTCCCACTGCCATTCAGGCTGTGCTCCTGCTGCACCAGCTTCAGCTTCAGCTCGAAGGACATCCCTTCCAGCTGCGCTTGGCTGCGAGGATAGTTGGCCAAAGTGTTCGCTGCTCGTATCGTAAAAACGCAAAACGTTTTATCTAAAAGCGATAAATTTTGAAAACCAAAACTTGCGCTGGTGAAATCAACCCCCGCCGATCTGGCAAAGGACCATCCCCGAATAGTTACGCCCTTCGTCCTTCGTCTTCGTCCTTCGCCGCACACCACATAGACATCAATTCTGTGTGTGCTTCTTGCCGGCAATCCTTGCAACATTTGCGGTTGCCGTTGTCGCCATCGACTGGTTACATGTAAGTGCTGCCATTGCCTCTCCGCTCTCCTTGTCCTCGAAATGCTGCTCCTGCTCCTGCTCCTGCTCCAGGACCTTACCAGGGCCAATCTCTTGCTGCTTTGCTTATCGCCTCGCACATTTGAGCTTTTTGAAATTTCTCGCCACAAAAACTGTCTGTAATGGGCACTACGTTGCCCGGCTTCGGCTTGGGATACTGCAAATAAAAATGTTAGACAATAAATATAGCAATATATAGATTATAGAGATATATATTTTATTAATTTAATATTTAAATATGATTTGATTAAATTGAAAGTTTTAAAAGTTAATTGTTTATGTAAATATTTACTTGATTTTTCTCTCCGTGTGCTTTTGCAGCTTCCTTGCTTTCTTCGCCTTCGACTCATCCTTGGAAGCCAACTAGTCAACGACATCGTCCTCGTCCTTCGTCCTTGTCGCTTGGTGGAAATTCAAGTAAATGTATTGAACTTAAGCTCATTGCCTGCGATGTCGTTTTCGTCGCACAGTCTGAAGCGATACATCCCCATTTCCCAACCCATTTCCCGACCCATTTTCCAGCCCACATTTTCCCCACTGTCGCCTTTAATACGCGGCGCTGTTTAGGGGAAAAGTAAAAAAAAAAGAAAAAATATACAAAATAAGAAAGAGAACTTTATGCAATTCCTTTTATAAAATGTTTCCTATTTTTTTCAGAGAGAGTGTGAATGAAAAAAACCCTGGTAAGATATATTTAAAAAATAGTTTTCTATATAAAAATCTGTTTTCTGTGATACTGATATTTTATGAACTTAACTTTTGATGTGGCTTTAAGTTTTAAAAGTCTTTAAAGTGTTTCAAAGATTTATAAACATAGTAATAAATTTGTAAATTTATAAATATTGTTTCTAGTTATTTTGTGGAATACTTTTTTTCTAAATACTTTTTTTCAAGTTAAAATTATAAATGATTCTTGGTTCAGAGTCTTGCCGAGCCTTGTGAATTTGTCGTGGCCCAGTTGAAGTTTCAGATCCGTTACCCAGTGGCTTTTTCCAGCTCAGTCTGGACTGCTCTGGACTACTCTCGGCAATTGCCAGTGCTAGTGCCACATCCACTGCCACATCCTCATCCTCATCCTCATCCTCATCCTCATCCTCATCCTCATCCTCATCCTCATCCTCATCCTCATCCACATCCCCATCCTTTATCCTCATCCCCAATGCCAGGCAATGCCTTGCCTCGTTTGGCAATGAATTTTTATGGCGCGACTTTTACGTCAGCATCATCCAAGCGGAGTTAAAAAAAAATAGAGAAGGAAACATGGGGATCGGGGATCGGGGATCCGGATCCGGATCCGGATCCAAATCCGAATCCTATAAAGCGAAACTCTTCAAGGCTTCGCTTGCTAAACAAACATATTCATGACAAGATTACGCTGCGGTGGCACTTAAAAATTTGCATTTGGAGTTGGTGAGGGGGTGGCAGCAAGGACATGGGACGTTGTCCTAATGGCTGCCGCCTCGACTGCACCAACTGCCAATTTCCGGCCGCGAAATAACATCTAATTAGCTAATCAACACAATTACGGTGCAACCAGCGGCCATACACATATACTTGCAGGATAAAAGGATACTCCACACGCACACACACAGAGATAGAGAGAGAGAGAGATGCGGCGGAAGTTGCCCAGACACAGGCGTCATCGTCATCGACAACATTCGATGAGGATGCCGCTTAGGCCAGAGTTGCCACCGCATCCGGCCACGCCGCATCCTACCCGCATCCTTTGTCCTTCATGGTAATGGGAACCACTGCACAATGTGGCGAATCTGTCCTGGCCTCATTACGGGCTACTCCTGGCCGCGATTGCCACATGGCCAGCACTGATTTAACTGGAAAAGATATAAGAAGTTATATCGATCGAATTTCTTTCTTAAAACTTACATTAAATTCTTGAATTTTAAAAATCTTCATCTTTAGATCCCCGCGACAAGGAGTTCGTTCATTGATCCCAACCAGCTGCACATGTGGTCTCCACTCAATTATAAACAGCGTTCATTCGTTAGCTCATTAATGCTCCTTGCTCAGCGGGACAATCCACACCCAAAGGCAGAGATCCTGCTGCTGCTCCTCACGGCCATGCCCGTCCATGGTTAATATCCTGTGTCAACTGTTGTCCATTCAATTTGCATTTTTGCAATTATTTCAATTAAATCGACAAAAGGAAAACGTCTGCTCTCCGCAAGGCAAGGCGGTCCCAGCAAATGAGTCGATGATTGTGGCTCTGCGAAAAGGTAAATGGAAGGATACGGTGGAGGGTAAAAGCTGGATTGGGATTGGGATTGGGACTGGGACTGGAGAGGGAGTCCCTGCCGCCTGGTGGGGAATATAATTTCCTCGCGCCGGATGTGACAATGAATACGCATTAATAAGTGCATACAAACGGACAGAGACGCACACTCATATTACGAGGCAACAGTAGAGACTGGCTACAAGTGAAACCTACAAAAAGAAGGTAAATTAATTAGTTTTCCTTAATAAAGTAAATGCAATTGATATATTATATGCTGCTGACCATACTTATTTTGTATTTGGTTTCCATTATCCTGGCATTCCTGTACTCTTTCCTCAGTGGGATATATGTTTACGATTTTTGAACTCCCGCGGAGAAAGGACCAAACCGATTCATACCTTTTGTTGCCACCGATGTTGCTTCTGCGTGCCTTCCGGTGGGTAAATTGATATGGCCTCCGCCTCCTGCTGTTCCATGGATGATGATGATGATGATGATGATGATGGGATTCCCGGAACGATGAATGCCGTCTGCCAAACGCGGAGTGCTCATGAATGGCTGGCTAATTTTGTAGAGCGACGGCTCGCTTTTAACAATATTAATATGCAAAAATAAAAAAAAACGAAGGAGAATAAAATAAATAAATGAAGGATAAGCCGGAGACAAAGCCATACTTCTCGCAAGAAATGGAACAATGTATGGAATGAAGCGGGCAAATTTTCATTCGCACAGCGGGAAATTGGATTTGGTGTATGCGCCACATCAAGTATACGCCACATGCGCCGCGGTCGTATACGTAATATGATTACAACATCCTGTCACCGCACTCGGTGCGTGCCACAGAAATAAAAAAAATGAAAAAAGAGAAAAAATATATATGAAATTATATGATTTGAATAGTAATTGAATTAGGCAATCATAGAGACCGACAGTAGTGTACACTGTACACAGTACATGACGTGCATTTTTCTCTCACCAGTATCCTTCTTTGACTATAAACCAGCCACTTTATTAGGCCATGTTTTATCCTCATCGATTTTTGCCCCGCAGCAGCAGCAGCAGCAGCAGGTCCTGTCAAATATTTGCAATTAAAAGCAATAAATTTGTTAAAACTACGAGAGCAGACTTACCCATGGCCCCACCTCACATCTCAAGCAATTTGTTAGAAGCTCTTTCGAGTGAAGCTAGACGCCATCAAGTGCCTGATGGAGATAAAGACCAAGTGGGAACAGTGGATGATTTAAGGGGATTTCTAGACATAAAATGGTATAGAAATTTAGGTGAATAAAAGTCTTAACAGAGGTATAAGAATAGGGATTAAATTATAACAAAAAAGGTTTGAAAAAGACAAGTATGAGAACGAGTTAACAACTTATTTCTATATTCTTTTAGGCTTCAAATATTTACTTACATTTTGAATATATACTTTGAATATTTATATTATTAGTTAATATAAGATATTTTTTGTTTAATATTTTAAATATATATATTATTTTTAATGTACAATTTTTTAAATATATCTACCACTGTCCTTTCTTATAACTTGGTCTAATGCCTTCGACATTTGTCGCCCTCAAATGGTTAACAAGTTTCTGCAAACATCGACAGACATCATTACTTACTGCCCGCTCTTTTTCTCCACTCTCCTTTCTCCACTCTCCACTCTCCTTTCTCCACTCTCCACACTTCCTGCTCCTCTTGTCTCCACTTTCCCCACTCAGTTGTAATCATGTGAATCCGCTTAAACTGTCGAAGTGTATTGCGCGTCATTATTTTCTTTCGTGCCATTAGACTTGAATAGTTTTTCCATACTAAAAAGTTAAAACGAGTTCCTGGTATAAAAAAAAAACATAAAGAAATGTTTAAAAAAAGAACAGCAGAAAGAACGCAAATCGCATCGCCGACTTTGCTGCTCATCATTTGCAGCTGCATTTCTGCCAATATCTGTATGTGCACTGAGCGAAATTAAAGCAGGTTAAATACCTCAATTGAGAAATAAAAATATTTATGTAGTAACCATAATTTAGCATAAGCTTTTTATAAATAAATCTTTAATTTTTGATGATTTTTTTATACCAACTAAATTTAGACTTTCAATCAATTATAATTAAGCCAAGCAGTTATGAATTTTACTTTGAAAAGCTTCTTTATATTAGGTTATAAGGTTAATAAATCTGCATACTAAATTTAAAGATAAGATTTAATTAATAATATTAATAATTTATAATACTATTTATATCTATTAATACTAATATTAATATTATTAATAATAATATATATAAAATTTCGATATCTAGAATATTAATATTAAAATGAATATTAATTAATAATATATAATATATAATATATATATATAATATATAATATTATAATATTACTCTCGCCCTCTCTTTCTCTATGCCTCTGTAAACCTCTGCCTCTCGCTCTCTTTCGTACTCACAATAACATTTCGTATGGCTGCCTCCCTCTGTTACAGCGCTGTAGAGGTGGCGCTAACGCTCTATCTCCCTCTGTTGCAGCTACAGAGGTAGCTCTTTCCCTCTTGCTCTCTTTCTCTGCTATCTCTCCTCGGGAAGTATAAATAGAGGCACTTCGATCGCCGCGAGCTCAGTCAGTCCTAGGGGTACCTAGTGTAAACATCGACAGTGATAGTGATTGTGATAACTCTTCAACAGCAACAAGATGACGTGGCCAAAGGAATGCATCTGGATAAACAGGAAGTGATCTTCGATGCCATGACTACCCAAATTTAAGGAAGGAAGTAAACAATGACGTGGCCTTTACTGAGGTAAGTCTTAATCATGACTATTATATTATTTATATATGTAGATGATTAAGATATGATCAGGCCTTGAACTAGATAAAGCTGTGCTAGCTATGCATTTATTTAACCATTAATTCCCTTATTGCCATTACTCATTACTTAATTACTTACTCATTACTTAATTATAAACTAAAGTAATTCAGCAATTTGTATTGATTAAAAATTTGTATTAATTAATATTCATAATATTATTAATATGGAGTTGGACATACAGAATAACATAGTGCTCGAGTGCGAGAGAGAGGGAGTGAGAGGGCTGTTGATGTTATTGTTAGGAATTTAACATTAATAAATGCATTTTAAACTTCTGATTAAAATTATAATATTCTGATAGAGTATTAATAATAATTATAAAATAATTAATGTCAAAACAAGAACTGAAATTAAATTTGGGTAGCCGAAGTTTCTATTTCCATTATCTTGCAGTTGCAATTGAATTAAATGATCGTAACATAAATTGATCACAACTAAATTTAAATATTCCCATTTTAAATTTTTATATATTTATTGATATTTTCAATGCATATTTTTTGGACAAATCAAAGTTTTAAACAACTCATAACTGAGCCAAACATTCAATTCGGAAAGCTTTTCTATTTTAGTTTAAATTGGGTTAATAAATCGCATACTCAATTTAAAATTTAAGAAAATTAAAATTTCTTATGAATTTTTGAAAATTTTAGCGATGTAACCTCTTTCCATTTTTTGAAAAAATTGAAAATGTTTAATTTTCTGCTGCAGATGGCTAGAAAAATTGTCGTGTTGTTGCTGATCAAGAACATATATTATTTATAGGGTCAGAAATTACTTTTTCAGTGTTTTATAGACTTCTGACTTATTTTAAATAGGTATGAAAGTATCAACTGTCTTTACCAATTTCCGTTTCCTGTTTCCCTCAGTGTAACAGTGTCACTTTTCTCGATTTTCCGCACTTGTGTGAGCTTTTCCTTGGCTGCAATGCAATGCAATGCGATGCGATGCGATGCGATGTCCCCTTGATGATGATGATGACGACACTCGGCTGCATTTCCACTCAAGTGCTCGCCTTTTTCGCACCATCATACGCTTTTCCACCCACTCACACTTTTCCGCCATCTTGATCAACGCTCACTCTTTTATTTGTTCATCCAATTTCAATTTATTTGCGTTTTTATTTCATTTTTGCCTACAATTGTGGCCAATTTGGCTTAATTGTTTTTATTAAGAGTTTGGTTCGCCGATTCTGCCCTATGACCCCGCATCGCCCCTCCTCCTCCTCCTCCTCCTCCTCCTCCTACCCCTTCGAACAATGCGTATAAATAAATCACTTGCATTTTATTGAGCCTCTTGCCTCGTCTCGCCTCGCTTTTGCCGCGTTGGAAAATGGAAAATTGCATTTAAAATGCACACGCAAATTGAAAATTGCCATAATACAATATGCACGTGTGTGTGTGAGTGTGTGTGAGTGAACAACTTTTGCTTTGGTAAAACGTGCCTCATTATAGAGATCAATGACATGTCCCGAACAGATATTAAACGCCATCTGAATGTAAATTGTTGCTCTTTTTCATTTTCACTGACATTTTCCTATGCCTATGAGCGCGTGTGTGTTTGTGTGCCGATGGAAATTAGTATTAAAGTGTGTGGCCATAGATTAACCTGTGACGTATTAATTTCCCATTAAAATTTAATAGTGTCTTAATTGTACGCTTCGATGTTTTTAATTTCACCATTTTCGGGCTTAGCTAAAGTTCATGGTTTAACTAAACAGGGTGGTTTTTATCAGTTGGCGCTTTCTACGCTTAGCCTAGTTCATGTTGCTAAAAATATACAAGGTGGTTTTCTTTAGCTTTTTGAAGCTTAAGAAGCTAAGCAAAGCCATGGTAAAAATGTATAAGGTGGTTTCAGCCTAAGCATGCTCAGTTCACTTTCTTCGTTTAGGAAGACTATGCATAAAGCCATGGTAAAAGTGTATAAGGTGGTGTTATCAGCTTTTGCCGAGGAACATCAGCAGCAGGTTCAGCTTTTACTCTTTCTCCCCTCTCAGAGATCCAAGTGCTAGAACGAGATGCCACATGCAATGGCGTACTGAGAAGAGAGCCATGATGGAGGCCTAGAACTGAGAGTGTGGGTGTGGAACTTGACAAGATGAGAGGCTCAAGAGAGAGAGAGGGGGGAGTGGGGCTTACAGGTTACAGCATATAATACAATGGAATATAAGTGGATCTCAAGTTACCAAAAAGAGAAATGAAGTGCACCGAAAGCTCCTTCACATTTTAACATTATTTGAAATTTTAATGAACAAACAACAACAAATAGATATACACATCTCTATCTCTCTTCAGTACAATAATTTTTTTGGTACAAGAAAACATCTAATTTCTACCACATCTTCTTCCTTGCATCGATGGAAACGCTGCCAGGGCCCAAGGATACAATCATCAATAGTCCGCCAATAACCGTAAGGGTTTGAAAAAAGCTATATTTCAAAAAGTCCCGAAGTGGCCGATAATCCGGTATATTCCACCAGGCATTGTGATACAGATTCAGCACGAAGAGCAATGCCACCAGAATGAGGGCCGACAACTTGGTCTTGTAGCCCAGGACAACGAATATCATTAGCATGATAGCGAAAATATCCTGAATCATTGGCCATGTCCTCAACTGGAACCGGATCAGGCCGAGGAACATTAAGGCCAACAGGATGCGACCAATTAGCTGCATATAGACCTTGGGTCTATTCTCGCCCAAGGATGGCAAACCGGCAAATAGGCTGAGGCGTTGCTCCTCAACTTGACCCTCGGCCAGGACAAGGATCAGGGCACCAATGAGTCCCAGCTTAAGCGACAGGATTTTCAAGTTCCACAAAATGGAGTAAGTCACTATCTGAAGCAGGACAATCGAGAGGAGCAATCCCACGGCAATGTTGGGCTTTCGGCGAGAGATCACCATCCAGCAGCCAACCAGCTGTCCCAGCATATTGATCAGGACGAACATGGTGCCCAGAAACTTCCCACATAACCAAGTCTCGTCCACATACTCACGTTGCTCGTCCCACTGCGAGAGCATCCTGATGCCATCCTCCAGGAAGCTGGCAATAAGGCAAATCTTCCCCACCTTTGGTATCACTTTTCTGCCACTTCTGATCACCTGATCGGCCACATCCTCTGCAGCAGCCAGATACTGCTGCGGTTTTGTCATATTTTGTAGATTTCACTGTTTCTGGCTCCGAGGATTCAACGGAGTTCCTTGGGCAGATATAAAGTTACAAAATAAAAGAGAACTTAAAAGTAGAGTTGACAATAAACAACTAACAATTTTCTATATGAAGTACGTGTATGTGTCATATTCTAGCTGAAAGTAAAATATTTTATATAATGTTCAAAACAAGAAAGAAAACTGAGTTTGGAAAGCTGAAGTTTATATACTCTTGGAGTTGGTAATTAAATTATAGGAACGTATATCGAAATCGGAAATAAGTAAATTTAACATGTTAACATTTTAAGAATTGATATGACATTTTAGTCGACAAATCAAATTTTTCAAAACTCAGAACTTGGTCAAAAAAGCATTAACCTAGTTTTTACTAGGTTAATAAATCTGCATACTCAATTAAAAATTTAAAAAATATTGCTAATATTTTGAAAATTGTAACCCCCTTCATTTTTTTCAAAAAATTTTAATTTTTTTCTTTCTACCCAAAATAGCAGGAAAAATTCGCCTGTTAATGCTGATCAAGAATATATATATTTAGATTTATAGGGTCGGAAATGATTCCTTCACTGCGTTAATAGCTTCTGACTAATATTATGATATATTGATGAGTTAAAATATGACATTTTTAATAAATGAATGTATTGTTTCAAGTTTTATTTAGCTTAAAGTATGCTCCAACTTATTTTAACAATTTTAGTTGCAAATTCAATATGAAAACCATAAGTTAAAAAGCTTTAAAAGTATCTATATGTTAAAGAATTTCTTATGAGGCAAAGTATTCCTACCGAAAGGTAGAAAAATATTGATATGATATTGATATGTTAATACAAAGAAACCCTATGATATAGGACTATATTTAGATTGAAGAATTATATGATCATACCAGACAGTTTCTGTTTATATAAAAATATTTAAGTTATGTTCTACAACTTGAAATGAAAATTAGCATTGATTTTCATTGATGATGTTTATTACTTAAAATCACATGTGAAGCACACACTTCCTGAATTTATAGAAATGTATATAGCATTGCTTTCTCACATGTCTATTGCCTATCTAACTAACTGATTAGCGATTTTGGTGATTGAACAAGGGACAGGACAGATTTCGAGGGGCACATCAAGTCAGGTGTGGAGGGAATTCGGCTGGGACTAGTCACTGCGGCTCTCTGGGCCTGGGCCTGGGCCTGGCATCTTCCCGGCTTCCGTTTCCGTTTCCGGTGCTGCTGCCCTTGGAAAGGTATCCTGTAGCTTGGTCAGCTCCTGATCAATGCGCTCCTTGGCGCGATAGACTTTCGACTGGAGATAGAAGGTGCCGCCGGAGGGCTTCTCATTGGCTTGAAACAGATGCTTATAGTTCGCTTTGATCTGCTCTTGGTCACCCAAATCCTTGATGTTTAGGATCAATCTAGCCTCGGTCAGGGTCATACCCTTTACCTTCTCATCGGCGGCATCATCGTCCGCGCACTTGTTGTGCGCCTGATGGAGGCGGGCCGCCTCATGGAAGGCCTCGATCTCCTGGCGCACCGTCTTCACGAATGCCCTTCCCATCGCCTGGGCACTAAGACCGATGATCTTCACAAGATACCGGGCCATGCTTTTGGTATCCAGAGTTGCCTGCTTCTGTCCCGACTATAATGAATTTTGCTCGCGATATTATAGAAGTCTCCGAAATCTCACAGCCAGAACATAATAGAAAATAGAGAGCTAGGAAATACACACGAACTACGGATCCTGTCAAAAATAATGTAAGTGATGAATGACTGACTGACTAACTGACTGACTGACTAACTAACTGATTGACTTTGAAAAAGGTACATTGATTGTGCTGGTGACACTGGCTTTGCTTTGATGATGTTTTAAATATATTTAAAACTATAAAGCGTCATTATTTTTTCTTGAATTTTTCTATTATATTTGTACTTTTAAAGTATATTCTTTTCCATGTTTAAAACACTTTACGCTTCACACTGAATGAATTCCTGACCCACCCAAGTGGTTAAGTATTCCCAGCTAGGATTGTGTCACGAGGTCAGTGCTTAACAGCAGAGGTCAATCTAAAAGCTCTAAGCTAAATATTATAAATATATTTCAATACAGAAATGTATCTGTAAACTGGCATAAAAGAAAACTAACTGAATATCCTACAGAATACACATATTTATTATATATTTAGCTCAACTAACATTGAATTTAATTTAAAGGAAAACTAACTGAATATCCTATAAACACATATTTATTATATATTTAGCTCAATTTAAATTGAATTTAATTGAAATGCACCCTATGCTATGCTCATGACCCTGTCTGTTCCTTAGACAGCAATGTCTGAATGAAATCAAAATGTTTCCTTGCTCAGATTTCCAGCTTCCGTTTCCGTTCTGGAGGCGTTTCTCTCGTGTGCGTGTGCTTGCATGTGTGAAGCTCATAAACAAATTATACGCAAATTGACAGACATCCGGCAGCAGTTTAGTTCCTCCTCGTTGTCATAGCCTTTAGATCTTCATGTCCTGTGTATATTAACATAATTACATTAATGACTTGCAGCTAGCAAAAAAAAGAGAGCCTCCTGCAGGATACGCAAATGGACAACAATTGCAGTTTTCTGGCCTCTGGCTTTTTGGGCCGTTAAAATTCACAAACTGTAATTGATCACATTTGCGTTTGTCGTTTGATTTCATTGTCTTGTGCGTGAGACCAAGTCACCGTTCCCGATTTTACTGACCATTTTCCACCCATTTTCCACGCATTTCCCCCAATTCAGCAGCCGCAGTTGATGGCCGGGTCTCATTCATTATGCAAACACCTCCACATGGCTATCTAAACGTGGCCGATGTCCGATGTGCCATGGATACACTGGGAGGAAATAGTTCAAGTATTTACTACCTAAAAATATATAAGAATTTGAGTTTGATAAAAATTCTTAAACAGCCATTAAAGAGCTCCAAAGTATTTGTGCAAAAGTATGAAAAATATGAATTATATATTAGAAAAAAAGGACAGTAAGGACACGATATACATTTCTTCTCTCTCTCTGGATGAGACTGGAGCAACTGCCTTTTGCGATTAGTTGCCATTTAAACTGCTTGTCCGGTTCCCATTCCCATTTCCCAGTTTCATTTTGATTTCGAATCGTTTGGGTTTTGGCCTTTTTTTTTTGGGACGGAGAAAGGAAGAACAGAGTCCTGGCAGCGGACACCATCCGCTCGTCAGTTGTGTCCGATGGCTGGCCGCCATAGCATTTTGATTTCCGCACTGCATCCGGCAGTTTTAATCCCCCAGACAGCAACGATGTCCTCTAACCCCCGCCTATCGTAGTCCTGTTCCTGCTCCTGTTCCTGATACTCCTCCTGCTCCTGCTCCTGCTGATACTCCGTTCTCAGTTCTCTTCCAAAAAAAAAAAAAGAAAATAGAAAACAACAAAATTGTTTGAGTGCAAATGCAACAAGAAGTTGGAATTTTGAACGAAAAGCAAAGGCAACTCCAGTATACACTATCTTTTATGATTTTTCCAGGATAATTATTAGAGAAATAATTAAAGACAACAATGCATTTAAAAAAAAACAAAACATCTTCTTTATTCTCCTATTTTCAAGAGGTTTTCTGTATTCCTAATTCTTTAAGGTTTTCTTTATTAATTTTAGGTAAAAACAAGATTGCAAATTAAAATATAAAATCACAAAAATTAACATTTACAAAACTAACTTAACTTAATCGTTGAGAAAACAAGTCATATAATACCAACTCAATTTATATTTTGTATAATATTAGACAATATTAGAAAGTGTTCCCCTTTGAAATATCATTATTTAAACCCCAAAAAAAACTATATATTAAATATTCCTTATATATAAACTTACCAGATTATCGTATATTTCCCTCTTTCGTGAGAGAACTTTAGCCGGGAAAGCGTGCTGAGGGAGTTGAGGAAAATGCGAACAGTTCACTATTTACCACACACGCAACGTGGTATCCACTGGCGGAGGTGGAAGGGGGTTGCTACAGATCTCGCAGGGGGGTGCAGGGGGGTGATGCATGGCCATGGCCATGGCGCTGAAAATGCCTACTGTCCGCTCTGGCCAACTGTCCAGTGTCGCATTCATTGCCATTCATTCGCCACTGCCGTTCGTGGTTGAAGCCCATGAAAGTTGCCTGGAAACCTCTCTGGGAACCTCCCCCACTGAAAACCCCCCTGAAAACCCCCTCTAAAACCACTGTAAACCCCTCTGAAAACCCTGCTCCTGAACTTTCCCCTGAAACCCTCCTAGTAACCCCTTTGAGTCCCCCCCTGAAAACCCCACTGAAACCTCTCTCTGAAAACCCCTACTCAAAAACCCCCACTCAAAACCCCCCTGGAAAACCCCCCTTCAAAAACCCCCTCTGAAAACCCCCCTTTGAAACCCCCTCTAAAAACCCCCCTCTGAAAACCCCTCTGGGAATGGTGATGCTGCTGCTTGTGGCTAACATGCAAGCTTAGGATTTGGAAAACAATTTCACTGTTAGTGGAATGTCAACGTCAGGTCTCGCTCTGCCAATGGTCTCCACCCCCACCCCCTTAAGTCTCACTCTATGACCTATGACCCCCACCGCTATAAAGCCCTTTCCCACCACACACACACACACACACACACATACACACAGCCCTTTCCCCCTTTTGATGGTCAGAAATTTTAGGCGCGATGCGTCGCACACATCACTAATTAGTGATGTGCAATAATCGTGACAGTGTGTGTGGATACACTGAGAAATACAAAATGATTTTTAATATATATGAATAACAAATTAAATTTAGTAAAGGTATTTGCTGTAAAGGAGCAAAGAGCATATTAATAAAATGTAAATAAAAAAAAGAAGTAAGTAGACTTTACAAAGTAAATAATAAATAATAAAAAGATCTACTTACAAACCCAGTTTCTAAGTCATTATAATTAGAAAAATCCCTTCTGAAATACTCTTAATTATTTCTCCCAGTGTAATCTAGCCATAGGCAATAGAGATTTTGTCGCTGGATCGGTTCAAAAATTGCGACATTGTTAATCAACTGTGCGTGTCGCATAAGTTGCATTTGCTTTCGGTCGCTTGGTCGGAATGGATTGCATGAACCGATGGGGTTAAAGGTGTACGGCCCTGGGGTGGCATGGGTTAAGAGCCTATTTGATTGGTTTCCAGGCTCCAAAAGGCCAAAGCTTAACTGGACTCAATGGAACCCGGAATATATCAACTAAGTGTAAGTGGAAAATTGCCAAATAATGAGCAGGACAAGTTCAAGGTCATTTAGTGGGGGAGTATATCGAAATAAATTGTATAGTTAATTATATATTTTATATATATTATATATATATTTATTACCAATAGAAATTTTTAAGGATACTATCGTTTAAACCGCAAAAAATCCGCTTTTAGCTTCTTTATTTTTCCGGATTTTTCAAAAGAGAGATTACGTTGTTGCTCTGCCTAGTGATCGCCCTTGTTTTTGCTCGATTTTGGTACTAGGTCTTTTAACAAAAAAATAAAAAACAAAAACATGCAGTTGAACGGGCAAAAGGACTTCTCTGGGAAACTGAGGATGATGGCGGATTGGTTGCATTTAATTGACCAGAAAAACAGCAAAAGGGCTGCGGGGTCAGCCTAATTGAAATTTCATGTTACAAAAGTAAGTGAGTACGAGACAGCCATCGGTGAGGGAAATGAGGCGGAGAGCCAGCAGTTGCCATTTTCCAGATTTTCCGGGATTTGTAATCAGGAACAGAGGGAAAGAAAATCAACGCCAGCAGCACCAGAGCCAATAAGGAAAATTTAATGAGTTCAATACAATTTCTGGGATATGAAACTGAAGCAAAAACTTCAACTTTCAAAGCCATTTCCTTTCTTAGTAGAATAAATTATTTATAAATTCGAAAAACAATTAATTTTGTTTAAATAAAATATAAAAGAGTACTAAAAAATCACTTAAAGCAGAGCCTGCATCCCTTTTTGTTAGCAAATAAATCTAAATAATTAATTGCTGCCTAAATTTTGCTACTAAACAAGCAATTAGATAAATAAAGGAGGTTTTGACACCTAATTCTTGCGTGTTTTAAAACTATTTGATAAACCGAAAACTGAAAATTAGAGTAGTCCATGAAAATACACATATTTCGATCCAAGTAAGCCATGAGTTTAATTTTAAAACTACATTTGTTACAAGCCTGCGACACAGGCCCCAACTAGTCATTGTTCGTCCGACTGAAGGCAAATTCGGTTCGATCATCCCGTTCGTACAACTAAATTCGAGTTTTGTGAGAAAAAAAGTAGATTAAGAAATTTTTGACAAAATGGAATATAATCGTCCCGATATAAACGCAAGAGCACGTCAGCGGGTCGTGGCCCAAGGCTCATCGCTTGGTGGCGGTGATGCCGATAATAGTGCTATAATGCGACGAACACCGAATGCAGAGCAGCAGCAGCAGCAGCAGGTGCAGCAGCAACCGCAACAGCAGCAGCAACCGCAACAGCAGCAGCATCAGTTGCAGCAACAGTCACAGCAGCAACTGCAACAGCTGCAACAGCAGCAACTGCAGCAATTGCAACAGCAGCAACAGCAACAGCAGCAGCAGCAGCAGCAACAGATGCAGCAGCAACATCATGTGGAACAGCGAGTGGAGCGTCCATTGGGCTCTCGGTCTCGTCTTCGACGCTCCGCAGCTGATCGTGACCAGGTGGCTATAGTCCTTCCCTGTGCCCCCACAGGTGCTCCTGTGGCCCTGATGGCTGAATCGTCCTCAGCCCCCGATTTAAGTCATATGTCCGAGTATGAGCCAAGTCGTTTGGTGCGTTTTTGCCTTCGTCTGGGCCTTAACTCTCTACTGCATCCATATGAAGTGGCCAAGATACTCATACAATTGGGCCACGAGCCACTTTCGGCGATTCCGTACCAGCTTCCGTTCGTGGGATGGCGTCCACGCCTCTATTTGCCCGGCGTGCAGCGCTATGTGACTCACATCTATCAGTTGGATGGAATCCGGGGTCTATATCGCGGACTCGGTCCTCGTGTTATTGCCGGTGTATTGGACTATACACTTGGCGATATGCTGATGAATGCCATCCGGCTAACTCCATATACCAATGTCGAGTCACATGTTGGTGCCAAGGAGTTCTTGTGGAATCTGATGTGCGACACAATACGTCTGGCCACATCGGTGGCCATTACCCATCCCTTCTATGTGGTAATGGTGCGCCAGGTGGCCCAGTTCGTTGGCCGGGAGACGGTCTATGAGGGTATATGGACCAGTCTGAAGATTATCCTTGAAACCGATGGATGGGAAGGACTCTATGCCGGCGCCGTGCCCCTCTTTCTGGGCGAATTGGCCATTCTGGCCGGCTCCAGTGCCCTGTGTCATTTGTGTCAGCGCCTCGTCCCGATGAATTTGCACTCGTATCAATATAATGGTGCCATCATCCAAATGGTGGTCAGCAAACTGGCATATCCATTGCATGTCACTGCCGCCTGCATGGCGGCCACCGGGGCACCACTCACCGCCTGCGAGCCGCCACGGATGCCCCTCTATAATCACTGGATCGATTGCCTTGCTGATCTTCAAGCCCGTGGTGGACACCATCGTGGCGGTCTCCTCTTTTGGCGTACAATCCCCAAGATGCAGTTGATGGGCCGAATGGATGCTAGTATTCCAGTCAATGCTTAAAATAATTTCATAGCCGGAAGTGATGCAACGGAACGATGATGAAGATTTCACAGGATTGCCTTATAATAGTCGAGTCGGAAACCAAACAAATCAGAATGGTATAGTAAATTGTTTGATAGATCTCAATAATGTTTAATAAATGATGCTTACTTCCCAATTTCGATAAGAAAATAAGACCTTTTCTTAGCTTAGTTCTTAGCTTTATTTAAGTTTACCAACTTAAAACCCTTTTAGCAAGAGATTTTGATGAAGGAGAGCCTCCTTCTCGACTCGATTAATTTCTCACACACACACACTTTGAAATGCAATGCCTGGAGTTAATAAACCGTAAGGATTCCTGAGTCCTTTTTAAGTCGTAGATCTCTACGAACATCCTCTCGTTGTTTTCACATTCATGAGCTTGTAAAGCAGCAGCACGACTCTTTACTCTTGCTTCTGTTTCAGCAAATGTCAGCAGAGATTAAGCGACTAAAGTCCTGCTGCCAGAATGGAACTGGCCAAGAAAGGACACATGTACCGCACTTTATGTACTGTCACTCCCTCCCCCCTCACACACACCACACACCACACACAACACACAATGGAGCGTAACTGGCAGATGCACGTAATGAAAATATCAAAAATCTACGACGAAATGTGCCAACAGGATTGCAGGACTGCAGCAATGTCCTGGCCAAAAGCCATCCTCGAGATGATGGGGCTGATGGCTCAGACACAATTCAGTTTTGGTTCATTTGAATGCGACACATTTGTGGGCCACACTCCAGCAGACAGCTGGTCTCTAGGAACTTTTGATTGCAACTTGGATTTTGATACAGATTTGATTATATTGAAGAAGACTTGAAAATAAGAGAATATTATGATGATTATTATAAATCCAATCCCTTGACATAAGTATAAAACCTTGATAAAGTTATTAAAACCCTCTATTTAGAGGCTGGGTATCTACAAGTCGGTTAAGTGACTCTAATCGAAATCCCTAAATGCCAGTTACGAGTTGGTTCAAGATAAGTCCAAAGAGTCGAAAGTCGCAGCACCCAAATTACTAGTTATTACATGGGGTGTGCGAGTGTGTATGGGAGTGAGTGTGTTTCTCTTTTTTGGGGTGACATGGCCGTATCGTCTTAATAACCAAAAAATGCCATCAGCCTTCAGCAGCAGCTCAAGGACTACGTGTCGTCCTGTTGCCAAGGCTGCCTTGATTCCTGCAACATTCACGCATGCCTGCCCGCCTGCATATATGGATAATGTATATATATATACATAAATATCTTATATATATATCGGATTTATATATGGTTGTAGTTGTAGGGCAACTGTTGAGCTGCAGAGCACACGAATCTGTTGTTACTGTCGCCCCATCGCCTGGCCCAAAATGCAATTAGACTAACGATGCAACACAATTTTCGTCTTCAGCTTCATAAAGATGCGATGACTGGTAGACAAAAGGGGGGAAGGGAGCAGGGGGAAGGGAGTTGCAACTGGAACTGCAACACTGGAACCCTGGAACTGGAGATGGTGGCACAAAGTTGACAGAGTCAGATGGTCAGTTGAAAGGAACGAGGGCGGTTTGAAAAATATAAAATGGGCCGAAAGTAAGTTGAGATTTTACGGAAATTTTAATTGAATTCCAAACAAGATTTTTACTTTATTTTGAATCTTTTTTTTTATAGATTTTAAAGTGATTATTTTAACAGGAGACTACTATATTATAAAATAAAATGTAAAGGTGTTTGTAACATGCACGTTTCTACATATTATAAACATATACTTCCCGTAAATCTTTGAACAATAAGTAAATTTTAATATATAATTTCTAAATATATTTAAAATTATATTCCAACTCAAAAGGTAATTAAAATATACATACATATTCCCAGAGTCACCCCTCGCAGCATTTTGGCAAAGTCTCAGGCTCAACAAATTCATGTTTCAATTTTTGCCTCGTCCCCCTGTGTGTGTGTGGCATATGCAACTTCCACTATGACGTCAAGAGAGGCAGGAGTATTATAGTGTGTGTGTGTGGTGTGTGTGTGTGTGTGTGGTGTGTGTGTGTAGCGGAAATGTTGAACAAAGTCATGCATTTGCATGGATAACTTGGGGCTTTGTCTCGGGTCAAGACTGGAAAAGCTGCAATTGCAAGTTACGAGTTGCAGGTCCTGGGCCCAAAAACAAATTGCCTATGCTGCCGGGGCTTAATTAACATTAATATCGAGTCCATTATTAAGTCAATTATGAATTATTATTGAAATCAGATCAAATTAAAGCCATACAGATTGCTATCATCATCGTCAAGCGTATCCGTTGCATTTATATTGATTCACTTCTTGGGACAGCAAAATAGGAGAATTTTCTGTAATATATGTACAGTGTGCGTCATAATTAACAGAAGCCACTAAATGCATATAGTATGTGTGTGTGTGTGTGTGTGGTTTCATCCTTTCTGATCCGTTCCGGGTATTTTTGCATAGTATTTTATTGACTAACATATGTAAATAATTCATATTAATGAGTTGGGCTTTTGTTCCAAAACGCTAAAAACGTTAACAAATTGTGGGGAAAACGTAGAAATTAAATGGGAAATTAAATACTTAGAGGAATTATTATTTAAAGTTAGTTAAAAATACATTTTAAAGATTAAATTTTCAAACTTGAGTCAGAATGCTTTGTTTTTAGGGTCACTTGCTATTTAAATTAAGTTGGGCTTTTGTTCCAAAACGCTAAAAACGTTAACAAATTGTGGAGAAAACGTAGAAATTAAATGGGAAATTAAATACTTAGAGGAATTATTATTTAAAGTTAGTTAAAAATACATTTTAAAAGTTAAATTTCCTAATAAAATAATATAAGCTCTACCTATAAAGTTACTTCTCAGGTTCACTTGCTATTTAAATTAAGTTTTAATGTTAATTTTTTAAAATATCTGGAAAAATCAGGAAATTTAAGCTGGGAACACAGGCTGAACTTGATGCCAAGGGGCGGGGAAACCCCTTTTTTTCAGGAAACGTGGCTCACAGCGGTGGCAAATATATTACGTATACGCCGCATGGGCTTCCGACTTCCGACAACAAGGTCGGCGGTTTCAATTTTATAACGTTAAACCAATTAACAGGTTTTACACACACACCGCACACACACACACACACACTCCCCCCCCATTTATGAGGTGTTAATCGACGTCATTCTGATGTAAAGCGCGATGAGAAGCAATATATATTTTATGGGTTGCGTAATTAACAGGCAACAACAATAACAAACCAGACACCAGCGACAGGTTAATGAGGCTCCATTGATTATGCATATGAGTTTTGTGGTGTGTGTGTGTGTGGCAGGTGTGTGTGTGCCAGATGGGGGTGTGTGTGTGTATAAGTCAAATTAAAATGTTACATATGCTAATGAAATCAACCAAAAATTATGAGCAATTATGAATAGCTTAATGGGATTTGCCAGTGACTGGCATTGGTTTGCCCTCAACTCAATGCCATTTTTAAGTCTCAAATTATTAATATAATTATTAATATAAATATATTGTATAATTATATTTAAATATAATTTGTATTTATATATATATATTTAATTTGTGGTCAACAAGGAAAGGTTGATATGCAGATGTTTGAAAAGGAATTCATTTACCTATCTTTCGACTTTGTTTATTTAATGTAATTATTCTATTTTATGTATGTTAAATATATTTCAAGTATTTGCTTATTTATAAACTCTAAGTTTGACCTAATTTTTTCCCCTGTTTTAAAGTTGATTTTAAAGTTGTTGTTTTCTTTTGTTTGTCTTATTTTGGGGGCCGGGCGGCAGTCAGGTGTAAATTACAAAACTTGTGAGATTTTTCCTTGGCATTTCCTCATTCTTTCTCTCTCTCTTTCTCTCTATCTCTTTCTCTCTCTCTTTCTCTGTATCTTTATCTTTCTCTCTTGGCTGCTACTGATGATGATGATGGCACTGTCGTCATAGCTGGCTGCTCCTGGATTTCAACTCGAACGTAATGCCAACAATTACGCAGCTGAATATTTTATGAGCCAAGCAGATTAATATGAATATTTTATTATCATTTTAGATTCCTTGCTGGCAGGTCCTTTTGGCCAGCAAAAGGACAAGACCAGACCCAGACGAAACACCAAGGCAGAGCCAAAGTCAGAAAGGCCAGAAAAATGCTTTTGTTTGGCATTTCACAGAGCCTACGAACAGAGTCTGTATTTTTTTAAAGTGGGGATTATGAAACAAAACTAAACAGGATGTGACTTTAAATTATTTTAAAATTAGTTAAATTTTGCAACTAAAAATAAGGCTGTTTTTGGGTATAAAAAATAAGTTTGATTGATATTATTTAAGCGGTTCTTTAATAACATTCTGGGTCTTCAATTATAAATTATACTTCCAGGGTTTTTTAATTATATTTTTGAAATATTTTTTAAGAGCTTTTAAGCTAAGTTTATTTGCCAATTTCATAGATAATAGTTCTTTAAATATGTCTTAAATTTTTTTATAGAGTATTTAAATTTCGTCCTTTTTGGTCACCTTTTTTTTGGAAGCTGTCTTGGTGGCCAACTCTTGACGCTGCTTGCCACAGTTTTTTGCACCTTGGCAGACGAAAATGCCTTTTCCCCCCCTCAAAACACACACACACACAAACACAAAAAGAAAAGCAAATAAATGAAAAACGCAGGACCAGAGACTGTTAGGAGCTGGAAAAGCGGGCGGAGGAAAATGTGGTGAGAACGGAATTTATGACCACGAGCCTTCAAAGGGCCAAGTTTCCTAAATGTTTTTTTTTTGCTTTATATTTTTGCAACCAAATAAAAACGGGCCAAAACAAATTGTGGCCCAGAGAGGGAGAGAGAGAAGGGGAGAGACAGCCCCCAGTTTCTGCCTTTAATTCTCGCAGCCAAAAACCAGAAAGCCACTTGGAAATGTGTCGGTTGCAAATAAAAAAAAAATATATACACAAAAAATAAAAATAAAGTGAGGGAAAAATAAACATTTTCTTTCATTTGTTGCGTTTTAAATTTTCATGCGCAACGAGTGTTGGCAATTACCAAGGCCTAAACTATATATACATACTTTATACATAGTTTTTCGGGGGCTCCAGCAAATAATAACGTCATCATGTATAAATTGCCTGCCACGCCCACGGAGTTGCTTTCG